TCCTCTTCTTCCTCTTCTTCCTCTTCTTCCTCTTCTTCCTCTTCTTCTTATTATTTTTATTCTTCTGGAAGATGTTGCAAGACCTCACAGCATCATCCGCTCATCTTGACAAATCTCGGACAACATTTCACTTTTCAGCAAGAAGGAACCCAAAACCTCTCCCGGTGCGCCCGGTCTCAAGCGCTTTTTGCAGCCAAGCAACTCGACTCACGCGGACTGCGAGAGAGCGAGCGGCGACCGTCAGGGGCGTGAACATGGTGCTCATTCCACCCCCCTTCCGATGTTTTCGAAGTGTCAGAGTTCACCAATTGGAGGGTGAGCAAACCGGTAAACGATCGATCCCAGAACATAGAAGCAAACGAGTGTGAAACGAGCGCTGGAGAGATGGATACAAGTGCAAAAATGGAGATTGCTGACAACGACCCTTGAACCCATGTCGACCTAGCTGCATATATCATATATCATATATCTATCAAATCACCAACAAAAAATCAGATCTGTGTCTCTATGCCCCATCCTCCATCCAAACCAATCCTTCTGGTGAAGGCCCAGAAAGGCTGACTGACCCGCCTGTGCTACGCACCTCGCTGGGCCTGGACAGCAAAGAAGCAGTTTGAAGATGTCGACCCCAAAAATAACAAGAATCTTTCTCGGACATCTAATGTCTGAGGATTTGCCCTGACACCTATCAATCTAGACCTGACACCTATCAATCTAGCACCCGGCAACTCGCAAGGCCCATCCCTGCCTGGGCACGACTGGCTGAGGGGCCTGGCTGAATCGCTTGGAACGAGGCGCCCCAGGCGCCCCTGTTCGCGCAGACTGTGGTGCATTGGCTTTTCGCGTCGGTTCACCAAAGCAGGCCTGTTGGGGCATGGGCGTCAGGCACCTGCGCAGGAAAAGGTGAGAAAAGGAGAAGGGCCGAATCCGTGGGAGATCAAACCCACACTTCGCCTTGTCCAACATCCGACCACCTCTTGTTTTGCAACATGCTCCAAACCATCCGGAAGAGTGCAGTTCACTGCAACGCCGCACTTTCTTGAAAGGAACCCGGGTCAGTGCTCCAAGAACCCCCAACCTCCTATTTTGCACCTCTCATTCTGCATCCGCCCAAAGACACAGTGGGAAACTGACCGCATGGCGCCATGTCGCTATATGTCGCTCGCCTGCCCATCGTCGCAAGGCCTTCGGGCAAGGAGCCTCGGCCAGCTGGCAAAGTTCAGTGCTCTTTGCAGAGTGTGAGTCCAGCAACCCAAACATGGAAGCTCCAATGGCGCAAACCCGGCCGAATCAGAGCACTCCAAGGACCCCGTTGGCACCATGGAGCAGGGCCGCCCCGCTGATGCAGAGCGAGCTTGGGAGCGTGTATCGCGTCACCTCACGACAAAGGCTTCCAGGTGAGGTCCCAGGTGCTCCAAAATGAGGACTCCTTCTTTGGCCTTCAACCGAAACGCGGAGGAATTCCAATTCCAATTCCTTCGCTTTGACTTCGCCGAAGCAAATTCCTTCGGCTTCTCTGCCGGATGGGTGAACCAACGAGTGGTGTTTCATCGGAATCGGAACCGGCTTTCCTTCGACGCCAACCGCCACCCGTCGTTTCCTCGGACGGTGTCGGATCTGGATCTCCGGACCACTTGAGGCCTTGGACGCGGAGAGCACGCGGAGAGCACGCGCGTGGAGAGCTGAAATGAAGCTCTTCCGGCAAAAAGGAGAGGCAACGGACTGATGCCTCTGCAATCATGAAAAAAAGAAAAACACATGGAGACCAAAGGATCTAAATTGGGAACATCGTCCCGAGCTCAGCTGCATACTCTTTATTGACTCGGTCGAGTCTGACCCCCGCAGGGTCGTCACCGTCTCTCTGTTTGGAACTGGCCTCATGAAGTCGATCTTAGGCTGAACGACCTCAAGTCGGAGCGTCGTTCGGGTAGTGGTTTCCTCCAATCCACAGAACATCACATGCTGTGGACAGTCTAATCGGTCGACTGTGAAAGCCTTTTGACTGTGAACATGCCACTTCCAAAAGGGGAGTGAGGACCACTCATCAGAGATAACTTAATGCTGCTAATTATTGACCTGGACAACCCTCTGTTGCGTGGACAATCCCGTACGTCCCCCCGTGTGGTTTCAAAGCAGCGAAACTCACCATCTGCCCTTTATCCGGTGAATCCTATCCTCCAATCTTCCCCAGAAGGGCCAAAGGTGTCGTCCACTCCGTGAGAAACGGATTCTTTAAGCCCACAAAATCCAATACTCTCCCTGGAACTCAAATGGCTACGTGGAGTGAGTTCACCACCTGTTTGGTCTGTGGATTTCGTCTTCCTGTCGGGGTCCACGTAACCATGTTAGTTCCAGGGAGTGTACTTCTTCAAAGCTGCATCCCTTGAACAGAACAAGACACTCTTTCGAGATCCAATGAATCTTCATGCACCAGCCAGGTGCGTGTCCAAACTTGCGATCAGCGGATCTTCACTGTATCAGATACCTAACCCAACCACGCTTTCAGGGCTGACTGGGCTAGGGTTAGCCCAGGTGCCCGAAAATCCCCCGTTGACGTAGCAACGGCGACCCTACCTTTCCCCAGTTTCCCTGGGCGTTCCCCACGCTGCGGCAGAAACTGGGCTTAAAGGCTGGGCCCGACCTGTGAAGCAAAGATCTGAAATCTGCTGGATGCCATGCCGTGCAACTGCTGGAAGATGGGAACGAAATCCGTTCGGCCCCGTTGAGCTGGGCATGGCATGGCACCGTTTGGAATTCACGCATTATGCCTCAAGGAAAGGGCCGGTCGAGAGCATTGTATGCTGAACACCGAAGGTTCCACCTCCAAACACCTCACCAATTGGTGACGGTGAGCGCCCATCGCACACACCCCACTCTCCCTACAAAAGTGCATCTTCTTCAAAAAGAAAATAGACTAATTCCCCTTGTTGAAGAGAAACAAAGACAAGCAGAGCCCAAAACCCTCTGACGGGTCAAAAAGCTCCAAAAAACTCTGTGGAGACCGCCAAATCGCCAGCCTTGGAGCCTCCTTCACCTCACGGATGTCACAGCTTCGAAATCACATTGAGAAAACGTTTGGAGAGTTCCAAGCCATGAAGTTTCTGCAAAGCTACCCCCCACACAACTCATCCAACTCCGTAAATCTTCTACGAGCACTGAAACATGTACCAGGGCAGTTCTCCCTCTGACCAAGAACAGAAAATGCTCCCCGCGGCAGATGGACAGCTCGAGGACTGAATGTAGGCATGGGGAATGTTGGGCATTTTCCGGTGTAGCTCTTCACCAAACCAAGAGAACTCGTCCTCTTCCAATGCCGAAACCCACCTTGTGCCAATTCTCAGACCCTCCACCCACCTCCATTGACTAGTAGGTTGGAGGCCATCGCTCGAAGGAGAGCTCCGGAGCTCCATCTCATCCCAAGCTTCCGGGCTGGAGAGGGCGCCGGCGTCATACTGGCAGACAGATCTTGTGGAGGAGAGGGCTATCATAGAACTTGCACCTGAAAGAGGTTTTTGCCTGAAGTAAAGCATGAAACTGCATGTTTCCTAGAGGTCCGGTTTCCACTTCAGTGCTTTATCTTCAGGCCCCAACTGCTAAACTGATATGCCTTCCAGACCGAAAGTGTTCTTCATTGCTGTGTTAATGGTCGCCGTGTGGCGACACCTCCCGCGACCTGACCTGTGTCACACCGTGTCGAGATGTCGATCGCTCCGTGCGCCGCTCCACTTGGCGCGCCGAGCGTCGGCTCGGACCGTTCCTTAGAAAAGTGTTTCAAACAAGGTCGTTACTACTAGTTACTACTCTAGCGTTCTTGTTACTACTAGTAAGTCTAGTAAGGCACTTGTTACTAGAAGCGATGCACTTGTTACTACTAGCGTCGGACCCAGAAAAAAAACACGTCTCTTCTGCCGATCCGACTCCCCCCGAGTGAACCCGCTAACCCTGAAGCGCTCCCGGCCGCCTCACTGCAGCATCGACGACCTTGGGCGCCAAAGCCGCAGCCTGGATGCAGCGGGGATGGGCGGTCAGGCTGGTGGGATCGAAAAGGACTCTGAGTCTACAGAATCCCAAGACAACTACACCCGGCTCAGCACGGAACTCTTGGGTAATTGTATAGGAAAGTGGAAAGCACAATATAGAGCAAACAGCTGAAACTCCAGCATTGGGTGAGCGACCTTCAAAATTAACGTTCCAAAGTTGGATCGTTTCTACGTAGGCTTCGTTTTTGTCCGGCTTCGTTGTCCAAGGAATGTGCAAGATCTTACCCCCAATGATCCATTTTATACCAGAATTGAAATAGACCAGCACATTCCATCTAAAACTTGTGCATGTGGGAAGTCCCCATAAGTTCTGCGCTCACGCACGCGCACACACTGTGTGAGCCATCAAGCATGAGCAGCCTGCAAAGCAGTATCTAACAAGTTTGCCTCGGTGACAAGAGTGGGTTCACCCAAATACTTTGTTACTAGTAGCTTCTTGCTCCTAGTAGCGATGCCAGGAGCCCCTAGTAGCTTCTTGTTACTAGTAGCGATGCCAGGAGCCCCTAGTAGCTTCTTGTTGCTGGTAGTAAGGCCAGGAACTACTGGTAGCATCCTTGCTCCTACTAGTAGCGATGCCACGAGCCCCTGGTAGCTTCTTGTTAGTAAAGGCCAAAGCACAGCAACACCAAGCTTCACCAAAGCAGACCCGCATGACGTCTGACACCTCCCAAAAAAGCACTTCGGCACGGCTTCAGCACCTCCTTGGCTCTTTGCGCCATCTCCTTGTAACGGGTCTCCCAAGCGTTCCGCTCCTCCACGACGTTGGAGATCACCTGCAAGGTACAGCTGGGCCCCAGCGCCCCGTGCGTCACCCCGGGAAGGAGACGCCTTACACTGACCGGTGAAAAGGAGACCCACCCCCAAAGACAGGTTTGGAGTTGGGACTTCTAGCTTTAGCCCCGGAGCTGTGTATTCTGCGATGCAGAGGTGTGCATTAAAAACACAAACTATGCGTGTATAATATGCATGTATGTGTGTTGTTCCACATCAGCTGCATGGACACTTCTGGGAGATAACACCATTTTGGAGGGTGAAACTTCTGGGTCCCGACTGGTGATGCTTCAACACCAGGTGTGGTGAAAACAACACCCTCCTAAGTAGTTTCTTGTTACGTTCGTAGTAAGAATGCTCCTAGTAGCGATGCCAAGAGCCCCTAGTAGCGTCCTTGCTCCTAGTAGTAAGGCCAGGAGCCCCTAGTAGCGTCCTTGCTCCTAGTAGTTTCTTGTTACTGGATGACCAAGACACCAGTTCCTCGCCCGGAAGGCCTTCCAGTGAATCTCTGCAGTTTGCTCTTGCACCTCCCGCATCGTCTGCACCTCCCGCTGTCGGAGAAAGAACCGCGAACGAATGAATGAATGAATGAATGAATGAATTAGCCCAGCTGGAGACCCCAATAGCAAGATACAAACCGGGACAAAAAGAAAAATCTGGAAACAGCTGCTGTTTTCAACACATCGACCATCTCTTCCTTGGACACCATCATCACATAACCGAGACACCATCACAAAATGACCAGGGCACCATCAAAACATGACCGAGACACCGTCACAACATGATTGGGACACCATCACAACATAACCGGGACACCATCACAAGGTGACCGGGACACCAGCATGACATGACGGGGACACCATCACAACATGACCGGGACACCATCAAAACATGACCGGGACACCTTCAAAACATGACCGGGACACCATCACAACATGACCGGGACACCATCAAAACATGACCGGGACACCATCACAACATGACCGGGACACCATCACAACATGACCGGGACACCATCAAACAGGACCGGGACACCATCAAACAGGACCGGGACACCATCAAAACATGACCGGGACACCATCACAACATGACCGCGCCACCATCACATGACCCGGACGCCATCAAAACATGACCAAGACACCATCCGCCCACCAGCTCTGACGGTGACCCGACGGCGCCCGTCCGCCTATTAGTTTTGCAAGACCCCATAGCATGGCTATTGGGGAATGAATGAATGAATGAATGGCACACGGAGAATGCGCCGAATGCTAAGGGCACTCCATCCAGGTTCATGTGCTCTGCACTGCTTCACTTGGCTCTAAGTATCCAACCGAAACCGGCTGAACTTCCCACATCCCACCATGCTGGACCGAAACCGGCCGTCTCCAGACAAGGACTACCCCATCCGCGCCGCGCTGGCTGGACATCGCGGGCCTGCAGGCGCAGGACATCGATCTCCCGGCGCAAGGCCGTGTGGGGCGAAGCCGGCGTCACCTCGCTGCGGATGTGGCGGCACAGCGGCAGGTAGAGGGAGGTCGAGCGGGCACCCCGAGGGCGGGCACACGGAGGGCGGACTTGGGCGGACTTGGGACTTGGACACCCAAAGTCATTGGCAATCAGCTCAAGAAGATCAACCGAGCTTGTGGTGGGCTAAACCATGGCTGTTTTGGTTTACAGTCATGCTTTGGGTGTCCATCGACTTGGTGTGAGATGTATGACCGCAGCATACCTAGCAGCAGCATACTGAGGCATACTGTACCTCCAAAGAAAACCACCCGCGGAGCCCGTCGGGGCCACGCGGCCACAGCTTGCTGCCCTTTTCTTTCGATGTCCAATGTCTGGACCCCAACAGCACCAATATTCGGACATGTTTGTCCACTTCGCATGATCTTCTCGTTCAGACTCTTCACTTCGAGTCTTTTGGGGTTCCACCCTTCTTCCCCTTCCTTCCCCTGGAACACGGTGGCCACCCCAGGCGTCCCCAGCGGACTCCGCGGCGGGTTCCACCGCGGGGGCGGACACCGCCGGCCTGAGTGGGAGGGTGGACTGGCTGGTTGGGCTCCCAAAGGCTGAGCTTCGAAACCCCTTTGGAAGAGCTGGAAACAGCTAGAGATTCCCATCTCGATGGGTCACCCAGTCACGTCTGGGTACTCTGTCACGTCTGTCACGTCAGTCACTCTGGATGTTCCAAGAATGGGGACTATAAGGGGTCTGGGAGTAGCATGTGCTCTGTGCTGTGCGATGCCGTTGAAGGTCAACGTCCCAGGAGAATCTATCTCATTGTTCGACGTCCAGGAGAAGCATCCGAGCCGGTCAATCCTACTGTGAAACAACGGGCACTTCTGAGGCTTCCTGCACCTTCACTTCCTCCTCCGTTTCTTCAGACCTGAACACATCATGGATGATGAATCGCACAACGCAGGTGACCAAAGACATCCAAAGACCAATCACAGCTCACCTGCGTGCTCTTGTTTTTGCAAAGACCTCATGTGTCAGACTGTGCCAGATTTGCTTGGACCATGGAAGGACATCCTCCATTGACGTCTCCAGAGGAATGTGTTAGGCATGCCTGCTTCTGGCGACTAGGGCTGGACTGAGGCCTTGATACTTCAGCAGACAATGTCACCCAGTGACCAGCGACTACCCGCCAATTTCTCCTTCAAAGAGTCTCCCATGTCAAAAGAACGCGTGGCTTGACGCCGCGCAAACCGAGGATGTCCCGCAGCATGCTTGGGAGGCCAAACTCCAACACATCTCCCACAAACAAAGCACCAAGAACCGCAAGAAGCCCTGCGTGTCGCCCGTTTTAGTGAGGAAATAGAGCGAAAACCCATATCGGTGCAAATCAAGAGAGAGGCCTCAGACCAATAGAGCTGGGTCTCTTTGTCCTTCCAGCCTCACACCCCCACCCGCTGCGTCTCGGCCTCTCCTCTTGCGGTGGTGACAGCTCAATGCCTGTGACACCAATCACAAGGAGCCGCTAGTTCTACACCACCCAGGGTGGAACGATGCAAACATCTGTCACCTGGACCTTAAAACTGTTTGAATGTGTTATTTGTTCACCTCTTCAGCAGACAGATCCCAAACCAAGGTGGCAGTCTGGGTCACCATGCAGAAGTTCCCAAACTCACCTGCCCCTCCACCCCCACACGTCGAGTCTCGGTCAAGTCGTCCTTCTTCCTTCACCTCGCCCTGCCTGGCTTGGACCGAGGCTTCGCGGAGGCGGACCTGGCGGAAGAAGGGAGGAGGAGCGGTTCCGGCCCGGTTTGGGCGGGCCTCCGGTGGTGGATTCGGGGTCGAATGGAGTGGATGGAACCGCGGCAGTTCCCGGAAAGACAGAAAGCCTGCTGGTGTTCTCATGCTCATTCATTCGGCCTCTAGAGCATTGAGCGAAAGGCGCAAGGATTGTACTGGTACTTATCATGTTCAGTTTTCTAGGTACCCCAGCAGAAAACTGAAGCTGCTGCAATAGAGGAACTCGCTATCAGAAAGCTGGCACCCACACTGACACATGTACCACAAAATACAAACAGAACAGGATCATATCATAGACTCACAGACCCAGTGGATTAGTGCCTGAAACTGTACATGGCATTCTCCCATGTCCCAGAATGATGACTAACCCTCCCCAAAATTCCGCAACGATCACATCTTGTGTCCACTACGGTTTGCCTCCACTTCATCCACCTTTCTCAGAAGAAACCTCCCAACGCCTCAAACTGCCCATCAAACACCCACCGATCTGCTCCAGGCGTCGTAGACGACGTCCCGGCCTCTGCGGGCCTCGGCGGACGGGCGGAGCGCCGAACCATGCACCTCTCTTCGTCTGCGGCGTTGCAAAGGATGCAGAAGTTTGAACACTTTACTTCATGCATTGACCGCTTGGGAAGCTCCCCTACATGTCGCCTACATCCAACAAAATCAGCGGATTCAGTATCAAAGGGTGGTGAATGCAGCTTCCACCATCTCCTTTCACCATTTGGCTTGAAGATCCATTGGAAGAAACTCTAACCCCAGCTGCAGGACAGGATGTTCACAGTATTTAAACCACAAATTCAGTTTGAGCAGGTCTATGATAGTCTTAAACTCTTAACCTTGAACCCCAAAAATGCGTGTGTATGTATGCTTGTTTGGGGGGACACAGCTTGATGTCAAGCATTGAGAATGGGACCCGAGATGGTGGCGACCAAGAGATTACATTCTGCCTCAACCTTCCGCTCCCAAATCCCGTCACTTCCCTTGAACGGTTGAACCCGGCTTCTCTCCCTCAGCCTTCCGTTTCTACACCGCACTGATTGGCGGTGAAACCAAAAGCCGACCACGCCGCCCGCGTTACGCCCCCCGACTGCTGCGACGGCGCCTCGGGGGATCGACGCATCCGTCCGCCGGTGCCGGTGCCGGCGCCCGCCGCTGGAAAGAACAGCCCAAAACGTGTGAAGTCATTCGCCTAGCGAACATGAAGTGGTGCATTTGACCTCATTTGGCCCATTTGCGACACATTCCGGGACACTGGGGCCAACACTTGAACTCCACTCGTAAACGGTCAGAAGATCTTAGAAGCCAAGTGATGCTCAGTCCGACTCCTTCTCAAAGTCCAAGCCCTTCGGACTCCCTGTTGAACATGGAGGTGCAGCTGCACCCCGTAAAAGGCCGACTGCGCGACCTCTGGGCACCCCGAACTCCACCGGAGAAGGCTTCCTTGCGTTCCATTGGGCGGCTCTCTTTGGAGGGGGGGGGATGATGTGACCTGGACGGCTCTCAGACCCCGTCCGCCTCGTTTGGACGCGGGGTCCGACCCGTCCGCTTCATCACCCGAGACGTACACCGAAGGATGGTTTTCATGATGCTTCTCATGGATCGAAACTCAGATCCTTTGACACACTGAGAGTGGACAGAGTAGAGAGAGATGTAAATCCTGTATGTCATGGATCTGTAGATCCTTCATTTTGAGTGTGGAGAGTCATAGTAGATCCTGTCCCTCCATACGTTCTAGCTTCTAGCTACGAACATAGCGATGCACCTGTTCCCAAGAGCGATGCACTTTGTTATTAGCAGCTTCTTGTTACTAGTAATAATGGCCTCCAACCTAATGGCGTAGTCCAGCTTCTTGTTACTGGTAGCCTTCCTGTTATTAAGAAAAGACCTCCGAAACCTTCGAAACGCCGCCGGCCTTGCCCCGCCATCCCCCGCCTCTCGGCCTCGCTCCGGCGCCTCCTCACCGACACCACACGCCTACCCGGCGCGTTGCGTGCGCGACGTCTGAGATGGCGTTCAGAAGAACTCAAGTGGCTGAGAATACTATGAGAGGAAGGCTTAACAAGTGGCCACTTGTTTTGATTCTTCTTTTGGCATCCAGCTTGGACATTCTGAGACTGTCCTCAACTCGATCGCTCTTGAAACAAGAAAGATGCAAACGCCGCAGTCTTCTTCTACCACGATTTCATAGGTTGGCAACCTACAGCCCATCAAGAAAGCATTACTTGCACAGTGATTACAACACTTCTGAAGTTGTACCTATAGCTCAGCATCATTTGCATCATGGCGGGCCAACACACACTGAAAAACCCCAAACTAGCAGCCTACAGGCCATTAATAAGGAAGCGCCACTTGTGACAACACACTCTATTAAGCTGTAGGTTGACAACGTGCTACATCCCATCAAAGAAGCACAACTTGCGATAACACGTGCTGAATAGTACTAACGCATGCTGCTAAGCCGTATGTTTACCACACACTCATATTTGCAGGTTGGCAACCTACAATGTATCATGCATGTATCATTTGCATCATCGTGGGACAACATACACTGTTGGAGCTGTAGGTTGCCAGCCTACAGCCGATCAAGAAAGCACTATGTACTTGCGCGGTGAAGTACTCGCCTGCATTCTGCTGAAGTCGTAGGTTTACAACCTAGGCCCTAGCCGCCCTAGCCCTATTTTAAACAAGAAGCTACTAGTAGCAAGGACGCTATTACTACATGTGTTTCTCTTTTGGACCTGTATGCATCTGCATGGGAATCCAGTCGCCTCCCGCCTTCCATCCACCCGAGCGCGGTGCGCCGAGGGCGTGCTCACGTCCGAGTGGATCACGTAGTGCTCGGCCTGCGACCCCCACGGCGAAAAACCATGACGCGGTGCGGGTTTTTGAGGCTCTTCAAGTCAACCCGCTAAAGCCCGACGTGTTTACGAAAGCTCTCTCTCTGCACACCGATCGGACACCTCGTGTTTCCGGCCAACCCAGTCCAGCCCTCATGACCATCCCATCTCATCCGCCACCTCCTTGTCCTTGGGCAACGTGATCACCGGCACCGGCCGGGCGCCCGCGCCGCCCGCGCCGGCCGCGGGGGCGGCGGGTCGAGCCGCGCGGTGCTGAGAGCGAGCTGCGGTCGCCTTGCTCATGAGGAAGAAACGGGTCGGAGCGTGACACGAGAATTGTAAGAAGTCCTATCTATGACATGAAAAGCCTATAAGGTGTTTTTGTCCATGCTTTTCCTCTGTCTGAAAATCTGTCGGTGTCAAACTTGTGAACGGCTTCATCTTGCGCTTAGATCTTCTGGCTTCGATCTTCATCCGTTCTTCACTCATTGTGGCGATGGTCCTGAAAAACTCCATGTCTGCGGCACACGGCTGATGCACCACTGATGCCGTTGCGGCTGGTCTCTGGAGGCCGAACGGCATGGGTATCCACCCAGAAGACTCCAGTTCTTCCGGGTTCTGGTAATTCATTCCAATGAAAGAAGAAGAACGTCCCAAGGTTCCTGAAAACTGCCTTTATCGCATCAGAAGTGGTATCAAATGTTCCACTTTAGATCTTCTGCCGCTCTTCCGGCCGGTCGAAGACGACTCAAGATGGCGGGATCGGGGTGGTGTCAGATGACCGGCTCCTGTGACACGCTCCTTTACACACCTGGGTGCTGACAAAGACCTTACCTCTGGGTGGTTAGGAAGATGTTGTACTTTCTCGCACCCAGGATTAAGGTACCTGGAAAACCTGTCAGCTGAGCGGTGGCCTTTCGGTTTCTCTGTTCTTCTTTGGTGGCAAGTCTTTGAGCAGGGCAAGTCACACCAGTGACTTCTTTAAATGGTCAAATCCAATACCCCACAAAAGTAGCCAAAAAAACAAACATCTTGCGAACATGAACATCATATTCATACCGTCATACCATATTTCTGCGTACTGTTAATGGGGGTACTTGAGCTGTCCGAAGCTGAAGTTATGCGACACCCCTGCTAGACTTGCCCAGCTTGAAATTTGAAACTGAAACCTAGGCGAGCAGGTCGTCAACCACTCACTAGATCAACGAGTGTCTGATCCCTAGGCCTGTGCAAGGAGAGTGCCAGCTCTCTCGAGTCAAGCACCTGCCCTCCCTGCGCCCTGGCGAGGCTGAGCCACATATTTTACGAAACAGCTGTCGCATCGAAGGGGCTTCATGTTCGTTCTCGCGCTGGTCTTTGCAGCGGTGGGGGGGGCTGGTTTTCCGCATAGTCACATTTGGGTAGCTCACAAGTCGTGTATCCAGGAAACCCACTCCATAAATGAGGGTCTTTCTGTTCGAAGCCATCTCCACATGAGGTTCGCACTCACTCCGTTGGAAAGGATGCCAGATAAATCCTCCCAAGGTGGTCCGATCAGCAGTGTTGCGAGAAGCAGATGGACCTCAAGGGCAGCAAAAAAACAATCCATCGAATCCCATGTGAACGTCCCAAAGCGGCACGTTCTCAACGAGGGTTCTCCTGCAGCTGTTTTCTTTTTTGCGCGTTCACTGATGTGCTGGTGAAACACCTGCAGTGCCATTGCAGCAAACATATGGATATAGTCTAGTCCATGTCAACACCTGTCAACACCTGTCAACACCTGCCCACCCGGATCACTTGGGTTCGGTCTTCACGCTGGGATCGCTTCGCGACGTGTGGCGCTGACGTCTTCGGGTGCCGTGGTGTGATGAAGGTCTTCGGGTGCTCCGCACAGCGCTGTCGGACGAACAAAGGAACAAAGGAACCAAGACATCGTGGGGACCCGTGTAGAGAACTGCACAGAAGTCTGTAGTCCAAGTGAATGGAACCCCCTTTGAACAGGGTGCTGCAGCTTTAGAATCCATAATCCTAGGAATTGAAAGGATTGGCAACGGGCAAAGTGCCCGCCAATGGTTATGGATTCCATCTCGGTGAATCTTATTGACACTGACCAACGCTAGGAAAGAAGAATGTTGCCATTCTGCCAGGTCCTTCCCTAACACTTTGTTGATCCCCTATACTTGGATGATCTTGATGCGTCAACCAAGATCCAGAAGAACTGAAGCATGCCATCAAAACAAGTGTCCTCTCATTCTTAAACACTTTGACTTTGGAACCAGGTTTCTTCAACTACTTACCCATCATGTCATGAGCACAGAGGAGATGCTCAACTCAGTTTGCAAAGGCACGCAGGGCCTGCATGATGTACACATGTGAAACGAAAACGGGTGAGACAAACGTGCTGATGCCACCTATGCCCTCATTGGAATGCGTTTTGGCATACCGTCTGAGGAGTTTGTTCTGCAAACCTTGAGCATATGAATACACAATCACGGAGATGATGCCAATCTTGGATAAACCACACGAACGGAACGAAACACGAGACTTCGGAAGGCAGACCAGCTGGTGTGGACTTGGCTGTCAGACTGAGCTGGAAGTCTCTGACGTAACCAATGGCCGGTCAGACCAATCGACGGCGACCGGAAAACAAGTGATTTAGATATGTCTGACATGAAACATTCCAACATCTAACAAGAAACAGGTTCTTTGCCCAAGGTTCCAAATTCACGTCGTGAAACAGGTTGCCTCGGACGGCAGAATCGGGGAATCTTTGACATTCACAAGACCAACACAGCAGTCGGAAGCGAGTCTGGTGTAGCAAGGGTCATTCATGCATTTATAGGTATGGGTGTGTATCAGAGGGAGAACACCAGACCTTGAGCACAACTAGATTGAGAAATTGTATGACCAGTTCTTTGCGGAAGACCCCTGCCTATTTCAATACACACCCATACACGCATGTACCTCTGAACCACTCCGTGTACTTCCAGCTGTCCACGGTTTTCATGTGAAGTGTCTGAAGTAATTATCTCCACACCAGACACGAAGCTGCGCATTTTCATTCACAAGTGGTTCATCTGGGAGATGGTGAGATGGTCAATGAGTGGGCTGTTGATTCATCACTTCCCTGCCCAAAAGCACCCATCTCGACCCTCAATCAGAGAGAAAAACATCCCTACCCCTCGAAAGGGCCGGGCCTACCCCCCGTCAAAACGGGCTGCCGTCGGTTCTCCCTTCCCCAAACGGGAACATCTCATGGGCCTCAATGCGCCAGGCTGAACAAGCCGCCCATATAGCGAACCTGGCTGCGAACAGAGACAGAGAGAGAGAGAGGGAGCACGCGTGAGGCAACGCCGCCTCCTGAAGAAATCCCCACGGACACAGCAGTTGTCAATGTGACTGTTAAAAGCCAGACAGCGTGTATATAGAACCAAAAAGCCTTTAAGGAATAATATGGAATAATTAGTAAGATTCTCTGCACCGGAGGAAAACAACCTCGTTTCCACACCTAAAACAAAGCCCCAGACAGAAATTGGTAAGTTTGGAAGCTCATTTGCCTTGCGACATGTCTGGACTCGGGGAATGGCATCCCGTCTCAGAGCCGCATCAAAGTGAGCCTGGAAGTGCTTGAATCTCATGCCACAAAAAAAAATGACTTGGGCCTTTGTCTTCCGACTGTTGAAGTCAACTGACGAACAGCAGATGAAATGGTCTTCCTGAGGCATCGCCCCTGGTGTTCACATGCGTCAAGCACTGCGCCGCGATCAAAACCGAAGCCAACGATGCGCACGAGGATCGATATGCGCTCGCGCCCGAACTTCGAAGCCAACGTCGCGCTGAAGGGCGAAGGGATCCGAGGCTCCGAGGAGCAAGTTGAGTGAGCTCCCTAGGTAAGTACATGTCCTACACAAACCTGACTTAGTTGCATGCCCTTCTTGGAGCTTGGCATGAGACTCTCCCAAATTTGGGCTTTGATTTAGACCTGCATCGCTGGAATGTAAGAACTTTCCGCTCACCAATTCGGAGTCAAAACACGTTTCCTTCGACCTGGCCATCCCTCGCGACCGATTGATGTCATGCACAAATTCTATATAAAACCGCCCAATCGAGTAAAGGATCATATAGTTTGCTATTCCGTGGGAGGCCATCGTTAGTAGAAACAAAGAAGCTACTAGTAACAAAGGGCATCGCTACGAACGGAGCAAGGACGCTACTAGGGGCTCCTGGCCTTGCTACTAGGAACAAGAAGCTATTAGGTGGGAGGCCATCGTTAGTAGAAACAAAGACCACCGCGTTCCGATCTCCGCCTGCGGCACCGGCCGAGGATGGATCACGCGGCCATCGCCCCGCTGGGCCTCCTGCGGTCGGTGGAACCGAGCTGTCGGTCAGGACCTGTAGCTGTAGGTCTTCCATGATCTACACCTGGCGCCCTGGAAGTGATGGAGGAGGCAGGAGGGCGAAAAAAAGAAAAACGGTTCTTTGTGAAGTGCCAAAAAGAACAGGTGGCGCGACAACATTCAGTGAAACATGCACATCACTTCAGCAATCCACAAAAAGAAAACAAGAGGTTGCGTCAAGCACCGTGCACCAAAACTGCTCTTACCAGTACTCTCCTGTTGGATCATCTCGCGCTTCTTCTGATCGTAGAACTTCTTCTTCACTTCCTTGCCAGGGGAGGGGTGGCAAGCGATATGAGACTTTCCATTGTGTCTGTCATCTTTGAACCTGAACAAGTTGGATCTATAGACAGATTCCTGTACGAAGACTCGTAGATTCCCTGACTTTCTCTGAAATCACTAACCAACCCAACTGCCAGCGTAACCTAGAGAAAAGAGCGAAGCGCAGTGAGTGCTACTCGGCCTTGGTTGCTCCAATCTACTGATCCCAATCAACCAACCACCCTGATAAGCCACACAGCCAAAGCCAAAACCCCCCCACCAACCTGTTTTACAGGCCAAGCATCTTGAAGTTCTCGATTGAGCCGATCGATCTCGTCCTTGTAATCTGACACCTCAACATGTCAGCCGGACGGGCGGCTCTTCGCTTCAACGTGAACATCGCCCACGGTGCTCACTCGCACGCGAAGAGATGGCACGACACAAAAAGTGTCGCCCACTTTGCTTCCAGTCCAGGTTTTTACCAGTCGATATTCACTTGCGCTGTACATCCAGCATCGAGCGCCGAGCACCGTTCTCTGCCCAACGAGACGTCGAGAGATCGAGACTCCACTTGCGTTCAAACGAAGAAAGCGCCCCCCACCCAGGGGGAAGTGCCTGAGACTGATAGGTCTGGAGCTCACCCTGCATTGCTTTCATCTGCTTCAGCTTGGAGTTGTACGTCTCCTGACGAACATTCTCATCCCCGCACGACGGCGCGCGTTCAGACCCGGACGTGTGCCTTCTGCCCGGTCGTTCGGCAAACGTCCCCCATCTGGGCCGACCAAATACGGGACGTGCTCGCGACCAGAGACGTCAAAGAGAAAAAAGAACGTCGTCGAAGTGGTTGGGAGAATAGACAGTAGCCCCTTGTTCCTAGTAGCGTCCTTGCTCCGTTCGTAGTGCCCCTTGTTCCGTTCGTAGCTTCTTGTTCCTAGTAGTAAGGCCAGGAGCCCCGTTCATAGCGATGCCCTTGTTCCTCTTTGGATAGACGTCGTGTCGTGTCGTCTGTCCTGTTTTGAGATGATACTCCACATGCCCTGCTGGCTCCCACTCAGGTCAATACGACCATCTGGCATCCCACAGTTTCGCCCACTCCACCGTGTGAGGAGAAACAGCAACGTCTGAGTTACCAGGTGGTGTGGGAGGGACATTTTTCTAGAAACATCGTCAATTTCGAGGAGATTCGCTAAACCATCTAAAACCACGTTATCCAACCCATCCAATTCCAGACCACCCTGTCCTCTTCCTGCATTTGTGGCAATGCTTTCTCACACCCATGGTAGGTCCCGCATCATTACCCACAGGCTGTCCGTGAAACTTTTTCAGTACCCTTGAGGTTCTGGTGCCAGTCCATGCCACAGTTTCGCTTGCCGAGTCCTCTTTCGGCATCTCCACCGATGTCGAGGGACTCGTGTTGGACTCGACTTCGTGAAGTCCAAAAGAAACACACCCAGCTCGACTCCCTTCGCAGGAAATCTGTTCAGTTCCGATGACTCGACATGGGCGAAAAAAGAAAACACCATGCCGCGCTCCTCGTGGAGCCGTGTTTTCTACGTGGCGCAAGCGGTTCGAAACCACCCGAACTCGCACGCGCCAGTCGTGCTCCTGATACTGCTCCAGTTGCTCGAGCACTTCGGGCCCGGGCTGTTTCTCCAGGATGGCATTCAGCTCCTGAGGCTGAAACAGAAAAACTCCACAAAAACGGAGGACATGTACTAGTAACAGGGGCATGACTACTAGTAGCTAGAAGCTACTAGTAACATCTAGTAACAAGGCATCGCTACTAGTAACAAGTGCATCGCTACTAGTAAGGAGAAAATGGTCACCCAACGTCAACTCACATCTTGAAATTGTTTGGAGATCCTTTTGGTCAACAAGGGCATGGCTACTAGTAACAAGTGCATTACTATCAGTAGCCACAAGCTACTAGTAACAAGGGCATCGCTACTAGCAGGGAGAGGAGCGGGCTAACAAAAAAGCTTTGGTCAACTCTTGGGGATCCTTTCGGTCCCTTCTTGATTGCAACAGTTTCAAATTTGGCGTCACAAAGGGCAAATGTGAGTTGACGTTGGGTGACCATTTTCTCCCTCATGCGACACTCGTTGTGATACAAACCTTGGCTCCTTTGATCAGTGGCTCACAATTGGAGGGATCCTTTTTCTCCCATCTGAAGTGCCCTCCATTCAGGTGAAAGCCTAGAAACAACGCCCACCCAGTCAGTATGCCTGGAGCAACAACCCAAGTCTTGCCCAAGACCTGCTGTATTTGAAACACAACGACATGTCCAACTCAGCTCCACATGTGCGTTCCATGGCTGGCCTGGAGCCCGCAGTTCCACTCGCCTCCCCAATGGATTCCCATCCGCCTTGTGAAGCTTGTCTTTCTCTTGGATCTCGCTGTCTTTCACCACCACCTCTTCGGTCTTTGCAATGAGGCGCATCTGAAGACTCCGCACCTTCGGGACAAAGCGAAAGGAGAAAAAAGACCCGCCTCCGCCTTTTCTTCGTCTCCACTTAGAAAGTGCGAAAAACTCAGAAGGACCCCCTGCACTCTAAGGCTCGAGGAGAAAACGGTCTTCCAAACAGAGGGTCCTTCCAGGTCCATCCAAAAAACCTTCCAGGTCCCTTGCAGAGCAAGGGAAATGTGACAGTAGCAGTGTGCTAACTGCACCGTCCAGTGGGGAGGAAAGAGCAGTTCAGGAATGCATCCAGCAAAGCACCGAACACGAACGCATTTGCGGGATAGAGTTGAGGGTCAGAAAGTGTCCATCTTTCCTCGGTGAACGCTCGACAGTGCACGGCTGTCATGAAGGCCCAAGAAAAAGGTCCCGCAAAGCTCACCAACTCATCAATACCCACCCCGTCCAGCAGAAAGAGAACAAATCCTCTCACCTGCGACCAGAATCATCCGGGAACACCTCCTCTTTCTCCACTCTTCTTTTTTATTTGAAACAAGAAGCTATTAGGAACAAGTGCATCGCTACTAGTAACAAGTGCCTTACGAACGTAGAAACAAGAAGCTTCATCAGTCCGGGCGCGCCAGTCCGAGCGCGCGATCACCAAAGGCCCGAACAACGCTTCACCGGCCGGCCCGGTGCACCCGCCGTGCACTCGGCGTCGCGTAGGCCCGGCGTCGCCCCGCTCGGCCTTCTGGATGAGCTCGTACATCCCGGGGTCCGATCCCTCGAGCTTCCGCCAGCGATGCACGTTCATGGGGTTCTCCAGCTCTTCAGAGAGCGCACGCACCTGCGAAGGAACCCCTGGGAACCACAGCGGCAGGGCCCGAGCGCCCCAACAAATTTACCGGTGACTGCAGGACTACTGGGAAAGGTCGCCGCTTCTTTTTTGCCCGGAAGCAGAGGCACAAAAGAAAAGATTCACATTATGGTTTCAGATGGTTTAAAGTGTTGACCACTGCTGCTTGGGGCCCCAAAAGGTGACTGCTTCACCGCTTGCATCTAAACACTCTCCGCGGATGAGCTCACTCTCACCCCACAAGGACCTTGCTGCCCAGGGACCTTGGTTCGCTCCTGCAACAGCTCCCGTTGAAGGTGATAGACCTCCTTCTCAAGGCTTCCCGCCGACTCGGCCTCCGACTCAGGGAGCCGGAATCGTGGGTCCCACATCGGAAGGATGAAGGATGAAGAAGGGTATTTTTTGGTGGTAAAAGGGAAGAAGGAATGTGGGGGATTTTTCATGTATCTCATATGGGATCCAAAAAATAAGGAAGTTCCATGAAAATGGTGGGGATTCTTTTAGACAGCTGCGATGTTCTCCCCCGGCGCTTCAGAGCTCTCGCTGCTTTCGCCTGCTGCCGAGCAATGAAGAGGTCGCGCTTCAGCCTGGTGTGGCCACCGTGCAGCGAAGCACAGGCAGCATGCGTGGTTTGCAGGTACTGCTTGTGGCCGCAGTTTGGGCCAATTTCGACACCCCTCATCCTTGGGGTTGGGAACCCAACCACGTTCCAAAGCGGAACTCTCGCGAGTTTTGGGGCACCATCCATTCCACTTCACCAAAAAGAGCATTTCACTTCTGATGGTCCACAGTAACAAGTGCCACGCTATTAGTAACAAGTGCCTTACTAGTAGTAACAAGAAGCTATATAGTAGTAACAAGTGCCTCCCACTTCTTCCACTTCCACTCCCACAGAGCTTGTGGGGACTCGTCGCCGACAACGGGTCACCTTCCCGACGGGACCCGGTGGAGCGAGTCCGCTGGGCTCCCCTGGCTCTCCGATGTCCGTGCGTTGCTCGTGGAGCCGATCCAAGAGCTTCCGGTACTGCACCTGGCGCAGCGCAAACGAAGCCGCGCGGGGAGGGTGACCGGACACGGAAGGTTGGTGGATGTTGGGGCAAGACAGGAGAGATGAAAGCGGAAGGTTGGTGGAGAAATCAACAAACATCTCAAACAGGGAGAAGATCAGCCAGATGTCAGCAATCAGTGAGAAGACTACAGGAAACCAAAAGTCTTCAGTGGTTTGAAAACTACTTTCAGGTGTCCTCATCTTAGTGTCTGTCTGTGTTGATCTCTTGTGGCTCAAGAGGATGTCTTTGGTAGACGACAGGCTGTGGTCCGTTCTTCTGTTCCTCAGGATATGTGGCAGTTCCTGCGGAACATGGCAGTTCCTGCAGCTTCAACCGGTACTCTCCCGCGCCTCGCCCTTTGACAAGGTACTCTCCTAGCAGGCCAGGCGGCGTCAAGGAGAAACAGCTCACTTGCTGGTCTCTCTGTCAACCACACAGGTGTCAACCACCACAGAGACCAGCAAGAGTCTGCAGAGGTGTCAGGTCCGGTCCAGGACCAAACGCTCCAGTCGTGCCGAGGCCAGGCATCGTTCCATGCTTGGTCCGGTCGTTCGTCGTTCCAAGAGATCCGGTTTGAGGTGTCTCATCATGTGTTCTATCGCTTTGGAGTTCGAAACCCAACATGGAAAAACAATCCGTTTGACCCGACATGTAAAAAGCAGAATGAACACACAATGATGAAGGAAACCATCTATCCAATGGATGAGAGCTCTCTCCTGGATCTTGATCTTCTCGTAGATCAGTGAGAGCTCCTCATTCCGCCGGATCAGCTGCTTCCCCAAGATGTTCCGCTCCGCCGTCACGGCCTCCGGATAAGGTGCCGCAGCTGAAGACAGAGGACATCATACATCGACCAGTATCAGAAGCAACCAACTTGGGGGCTAAACATGGGTAAACAACCCTTTTTGTTCACCCACAGAAAAAGGAAGGGGGGTTAAGACTTGTCATGTTGACAGCTTCTCTTCCCAGGTTCTTCGAAGCCAGTTCCGCCCGAAAACCCCCGCCTCAAACTCCTTCCGCTGGTTTTGCCGCTCGGATTCGGCTTCCTGGATGGTCGCCTATCCGGCCGCGCACGGGCCCCGAAGCGGAGGTCGGTCCGATGTAAGACGAGCCCCGAATCGGAGGCAGAGAACTATGGAGTGCCCCAAATGATCGAGCTGGCCGCCACTGGCCAACGGGAAAGCATCGCATCTTACTGGTGAGGTGACTGCTCCTTGGAAACCGAGCCATGGCAGACGTCCCACATCTGCTTTCTCACATCGGTCCAATGTCTCTCCACCTTTCACATTATCATCCTGACCCTCATCCTGATCCGGACATCTTCGGATCTGGAACGTGTCAGTATATAAAGGCTTGGAGGGCCCTTTGGGGGTGCCCTTTGGCGGGCCCTTTGGGGGGTCAACCCTCCGAAAAGCCTCGGTTACACTTGAGACCGAGACCTGTCAACCCTCCACCGGTGCCAGGCACGTTCGGTCGGTCGCACCTCGAGCTTCTTGATATCGGACGATTGCTGCTCCACCAACTGCCCAGCGGAACCCGGGTGAAATAGCCCGGCCGACCAGAACGAAGGAGAATGAGAAGCGGTGGAGAAACACCGTCGTATGAGCAACTGACTATCTTTCTGTATCTCAACATACTATGCACAGTCAAATGTTAAGAAGTATGACGTTGGATAGGATTCTGATGCTTCTGAGAAGAAATCGATATGACTGTGTTGCCCCAGACAGTCGCAGAGCGACAGTTTGTTTGGGCAGTCTGCAGAGGGCGAGTAGACTGTCCCAGAGAACATCAATGCAACTATGTAAGTTTTCGACATGAAAGCTTGGTGGCAATGAGTCTGGTGCAACAGCCTGCTGTGCTCGGGTCTGTTGCTTCTCGTGGTACTCCAAGTTGTGCTTGGTCTTCTCTGTCTCCTGTCCACAGCGGCACAAGGTCCCGCAGCTGTAAAAGTGGAGTGGAGGATGGCAACATCAAAGGAACAAACTCAGGCCTTCAAGGAATATGGACATGTTGCACTATGTTGCACTATGTTGCACATCTAAATACCCTACACTGACCTTGGGACCCACGTGACATGTTGACATGCTGATCCCATGACCAGGTCCGTGCATCACGTCCCGGACGCACGATATTTGGATCTCTCAATCACCCAAGGTTTGAGAAGTTCTCGATGCATCTTCTAATATTATTCTAGAATACCGAACTAGCATGTCTTTGACCTGCCCCAGTCTCACACACTCTTAACATCCCACAAGCATCACTTGGACATGTGTCAGAGATGAATTAGGGAAGGAGAAGCAGGTGAGGACCTGCACACCCTTGGGCATGTGCAGCTCAGAAGCAGGTCACATGCCCAGTCCTTGCTGATCCCCTGGTGTTTGAAGTGCTCCGCAATCATCGCAACATCCTTCTCTTTGATTTCCTCCTTCAGCTGCTCAATCTGATGGCACATCACCTGCCCAATCAAAATGGTCTCTTGCATAAGAAGCAGCCCTCAGGATGTAGCCCGCAGCCCAGTCGGAAACAAATGACTCGATCGGACGGAACATGTTCCCACTTCTTCCCGGCGGAACATGCCACGAAAAGAGTGTTGCTCATGAATCATACAGAGCATCTCTGGGAAGTCATCACCAAAACATTTAGATCCACGGTGTCTAGAAACTTCTACAAAAAACCAAATCTGTATAGGGTCCTTCCCCTCCTCCAAGCGATGCATGACAGTTGTACTCCAATGTCGGGAGACGCCAACTAGCGATGGCCTTCAACCCCACCCTAAGAGCGGCCTACCCCCCCTTAAAAAAAACAAAAAACGCACCAAAAGAATTCGCTACAAGAAGACTGTCGCCCCAAGTTCACCGCATCTGTTGTCCGAAGAAGAATCTGTAGGTGCGAAGACTTAAAACCCGCACATCCCAAGCATGCCTGGTCAGGTATAAACACACGCACACAAAAAAAAGAGAAGCCAACCAACCAGAGTGGTCTTGAAACATCCAGATTCGTCCGAAAACCTCTTGGATATGTAAGGGAAACCTCCTGTTTGTTCAACGAGAGTGGCGGAGTTTCTTCGAGAGCACCTTGAATTTCTTCCGCATCTCGTTGATCTCTTCTAAGGACTCCACCAGGTTCTTGGAGTAGAGGTTCTTATCGGTCCGCACCGCCTTGGACAACGGGGGATGAGCACATGGCGGCAACCTCTCGATTCGACTGGCACCTGGGATCGAGAACAATGAACACCTGCACATGTGACCCACAGATCTCGGGAACACGTACCCAAATCGAGAACAACTCGTACGTACAGCCCGGTTCTGCTACTTTGGTCGCTTGTGCACCTGGGCCTAAATACATTGTGCTCGCTCGCGACCAACTAGGACCAAGCACGTTTCTACAAAACCAGCTTGCCTCATAGAGGTTCTTCTGCTGAGCCCACTTCGCCCGCACGTCGGCGATGCTCCTCTTCAGTTGCGCCATCTGCAACTCGCGGCCTGGCACATCGCGTCTTGTCGCGGCGCAACGTGTAGGCCGTGCGCACGGCATCGGTTCCCGAAGGCGGGCCGTTTGGGACGCACAGAAGGTACGTGGTTTCACAGTGATTCCCGACAGCAGTCCAATCTACAACGTCAATTTGAAATCTCAGAAAGAAAACTGCCCAGGCCTCGAAGCTCCTCTTGAGCAGCCTCACATCGCTGCTTTGCCTCCGGCTCGGTGAATCACTCAGAACCTCCTCCGTTTTGCTTTGAGAGGAACCCCCAAAAAGAGGAGAAGAAGATCTCCCGCACTGAAATGAAGAAGTTTGCGCTGTAGCATCTTTCGCATCTTTTCAGGATGTTTCATGACTTCATGTGTCCTCAGAATCCTCAGATTCTCTGGGGTTTTCCGCACCCTCCACGCGGCGCGCAGGTCGCCCGCGGAGCACGCGCCTGCTGCAGGTCTCCCGAGTACTTCTCCCGCTGGCGGTCGAGCTCGTGGATCCGCTGGAGCCTCGGGTGCTGCTGGTCGCGCTCCGGTGGTTGGTGAGGGAAAAGAAAGGTCTGAGACTGAAGAGTTCATGACCGGCCCTGCCGGCCCTGTGGACAACTGGCAAGTGGACAACTGGCACAAAGCATGATTCTAGTGAGAAGAAATGGTGAGATTGATCGTTTCTGAACCGAAGCTCCTTCCGAAAGGAGGATTTGGAGAGAATCACTTCTTTCAACACTTCCAAGTCCGAAAATTGGACCACTTGGTGGAAAGTTGCTTGACCTTCACATCCGAAATCTCACCAATTCCGATGTTGCTGGACCTTCTCGCGACCTAGCTGTTCGTCGAGTCGTTGACGCGCGACCTCCCTCGCTTCTCGTGTGGCTTCAGGTCCAGACTTCAGATCCAGGTCGGACTTCCAGCGATGGAGGTCCTGGGACATTCGGAACACACACCCGTCGTCCGTGGGTTTTCGTCCGAGTGGTGTGGCGATTCAGCGGCGAACGGCGCCGGAAAACGGCGCCGTAAAACGGGGGGTGGTAGTGCTTGGGGGTATGTTGACTGGACAGGATCAAAGCAGGATGACTGCAGGCCTTCTCTCTGGGGGGTTGCCAAGGTCCAGTCTTGAAAACAAATGATGTTCATGGATGAAGACATCCCACAAAGGAACGCCTCCATGGCAACATCCACCAGAAAGGATCTGAACCATAAACACCGTCTGGCGTCTGAGTCCGATTCTTTTTTTCTGAGTCCGATGCGAAGGAGGCGGACCGCGGGGTCCAAACTCCACCGGTTGGACTCTCCGAGTGTCGGAGGGTCCCCGAATCCGTCGGAGGGTCCTCGACATCGGTTCCGATTTCTACAAAAGCCCCATTTGTGGAGCGATCCGGTCCTTGGAGAGGGTCTGCGCTTGACCCTTGTGGAGATCCACCAGCTCCACCTGGCGCCCAGCCAGGTGTAAGTCGGTCTCACCGACCCAGCCAGGTAAATCCCTCAAGTACTCCAATCGTTATGAAACACTCCAACCACACACACATGTAACATGTAGATGATGAGGAACACTCCAACCACAAAGAGAGCCCTCGAAAAAAGGATCACTGTTTCTATGGAGCTCCCCCGTTCGGCCTTTTTTGATGACTCTTCCGGAAGCAAAGATGTCAGATCGAGAATTTGCAAGGGAAAGTATATATAAGGTGAGGTCTTCTTGAAACTTGCTTTTCAAGTATGTCTTTATGTTTAGAAAATTCCAACAAGGCCGAAGGCGCCTGCTGCTTCGAGCGTTCCTCGCCCTTCATGAGCGCCTGAAGAGGGTTGAGGTGTTGATTTCCATGTTGGAGCAGGTACTTGACGAGCGAAAAAATGATTTGATAGATCTTGATGGGACTAAATTGATTCTTTCAGCATCTTTCAGCTATGTTTCCTCATTTCTTCCTTTCGTCTTCATATCTTCATTCTTCCATGACTTCCGAGTCTCGCATCCCCCCCATCCTCGCCTTCCCGAGGATGTCCCGCTCATGCAGCAAATCCGTGACCTGGACGGCGTCTGGACGTCCCCAGCCGTCGACCGCCGCCTCTTCGGTCGACGCACCACGGCACCGCGGACGGGAGGCTCGCCTGCTTCTCCTGCGCCTCGGAGTCTCTTTTCAGCTTCTCAAGCTCCTGGTGCGACCGGACCGGTTGGACCGGCCACCAACACCGGACACCAACACCAGAGTCGAGGAAATGGGACAATACGCTGGAAAATGGGCTCCGAAGCAAGCAAGCAAAAGGACGCCCTCCAGAGCCACAAACAACATGCGTGAAAACCAGCGCGGCGCTCTGATTTTCTTAGGGTGTGGGGTGGTTCATGAGACATGTTCATATCTCATCGGAGTCTCATCATATCTCCAGTCAAGCCATCGTTTCATGATCCTTTGTCAGCACTCTTCTAAAATGGTCTTTATAGGTGACCCGAATGTGACACTTTCGGTCCCAAAAACAGTGGACGTCTGGACTTCTAGGGTTTAGCCAACCCTTTTTCGTCGGAAAAAAGTTGCTCCCCAGCCATTTTTTCATGTCCGCACCTGACCATGCTACCTTGAAAAACCCATGGACCATCCCTTCATGCAGCTTTTTTCAGCCCCTTTTGATTCGGGACGAGGCCGGCCTTGCGGAGCTCGGAGACCTCGCCCCGCATCTGCGTGCTGCGAGCCTGGTCTCGGTGTGTCCCGGGAGGACACCGGAGATGAGACAGAAAACGACACGCCGACGGTGCGGCGCGACGTGCCGGAGAGGGCGACAAGGAACTAACCATGTTTGGAGGGCGAACAGATGGGCTCGAAACTGACTCTGTGACAACTGTAGCGGCGCGAAAATTCCTGGGTTGGTGCGTGTGTAGGAATATCTGTGATGCTGCAATTGAACACAGGTTTTAGGTCAAAGGCACGCTACAAAGTTGTTTTAAACAAAGAAAACAACAATAAAACCGACCAAAAGAGCATGCTAATCCCACCGTTTACAGAGGTGCAGTTTCACACACAAGTACTCAAACCGACTTCATCACTGCAAAGACTCAGGATTTCCTAAAGTCAACCTCCAACAGGAACGAGCAAAACCAAGACTCAACCAAAATCTGAGGAAATTTGTGTTTTTCACCAAAGACACGCAGACTTTCTTCACAGCTGGGCATGCCATTCAGTCTCTTCCACTCGCCCACAGGGCTAGTCGAACGCTCACGTGGGTGAGGTGCCTCCAGGCGTCGCGATTCAGCATCGTCCTTGTCTTTAAGGGCTTGGAGCGCCTGGGGCGGCCAACGAAGGGAGGGCTCCAACGTGGAGCAATCGATGTTTGACATGCAAAGATAGAAGCCTTGGTGGAGGTTGTTTGATCTGCAAGGCCCCGTTCTGATCGCGTCCGATCGCTACAAAAGTAGCGATGAAGACGGCGGTCGCTTGACCTTTCACCAACAACACCCAGCGCTTTCGGGACCCAACTGGAAAAACCCTGCCAAAGCACTCCGTCAGTGCGGACGACGCTGACTCCGTCAGCCCGTGTTCCGTGCAGCGGGTTTCGCGCCGGCGCCGGGGCGTGGTCGCAGCGCCTCCAAGGTCTTCTGCGTCTTGGCTTTGGAACTGCGGAGCGCATTGATCTCATCCTGCGCAGCGAGCAGATGGTGCGCATCTGATCTGAAACCAACCGAAAGCCCTGGTGTCATGCGGTTGGGGGGGCCTTGTTTTGTTCACCACGTGGTCTGCAAAACAAAATCCCGGATCAAGAAGCAGGAGTTTTGGAATTGGCATCAAGAGCGCAAGTGGGATGACTACAGAGTCAGACATCACCTGAATTGATACAGGCTTGACAATCACATGTCCCGGAGAACTGAACAAAACCCTCCTGTCGTTTCATCTTGTCTCTCCATATTTTGATTCATCAGTTCTTAAGCAAAACCGCAGAGTTTCTTCTTTCCAGACCCAAGCAGCCCGGCAGGCGTCCCGGAATCGACTGAGACCGCGCCTGGCGGAACTTGAGCTGCGCCTTGAGGTCTTTCTGCTCCTCTTCCAAGCGGTTCTTGGCCGTCATCTCCTGGCGCAGAAGGAAGGACGGGTGTGTTCCACAGCCCCCCTGACCGGCTAAGAGAAAGCGGACGGTGATCTTTGGTCCTCACTCTGGCCACGGCGTGGCGCGGCACTTCACTGCTACTCTAGTTCACGCAGAGACTTGGAGCGCCCCCGGCCTCGCGCACTTGCTTGTCTAGGTGCTGCGCATTTCCATTCAGCTGGGTACACCGAATCCCCAGCCGCTCTTCCTGCGCAGGATCGACTCGATTTCCAAACCGATCAACTCGTCCTGAACAACGGGGCGGCCGGCTCCGAATGTGTATCTCCCGTGCAGGTCTTTGAGAGTAGCTCGGTTGCAGCCACTCTTCTTCCAGTGTCCTGCGGCCCTGCATCTAAATTAATGACCTTCATCCCAACAAACCTCACTGCACTCACTGCACGGTGGGAATGTGTGTGTGTGTAGAACCTTTGGAGTCACAAGGTTCCTGTTGGAGTGTTTGATAGGGACTTTTAAGCAGGGGGGCCATCCATGTGCTGTGAGTACATGCGGATATCACGGCTGATCACCGTGACGTACCTGCTTTGGTGTGATGTTTCCAAGCTGTGACTCTACTCTTCCTTAAAGGGCTAGTGCCCGCGGCAGACAAGAGCGCACGTCGTCATTTGGACCTGGTCGTCGCCTCGTTGAGCTTGAGTTTTGGCCTTTAACTAAAGGTGCCCAAGCCCCCATCTCTTGACCTTTCAGGATTCTGGTTCCTTAGGTTGCCGTGTGACGAGCGGCATTCCATGTCCTAAACAGAAATCCGCATTGGTTTTCAGGCTCCAGCAACCAGTCTCACACTAACTAGTAGAACATCGTGCCATATTACTCTGAAGTCTACCTGCACTTCAACAGTTTCCAACAAAACATGTGATTAGCTCCATTCCTCCTGCCACCTCTCGATACACCGCCGATTTGCCCGGCCATCGTCGTCGTGCCCGTGCGGCGCGCTCGCGTGCCCGTGCCCGTGAACTTGCCTTGCCTCCTGCTTCTCTTCTCTCAACACGCGAGAAAGGTGCTTTTGCACCTCCTTGGATCGAGAGCAGCGAAGGACAGGCGACCAGCGGGGGGGTGAGGGGATCAACTGGACAAGCGGGGTGAGAGCATTTCACCGAAGTGGACTTTTCTTGCAACATCTGCTTTTGTAGAGAAGTCATGAAGGAATGTCCAGGTCAAGACGACATCCGAAGGTCTTAAAGATGGCGGGACCATTTCCAAGAACATGCACCGTTCTGACAACGAAGGACATGAACTGTTCTTCGACTTGGTTGCTTTGACCCCTGCCTCGCCGCGAGAGAGCTCTTCTCGCTTGGCATTCACTTCGCTCTGCTTGGCTTCTAAGCCTTGAAGGAGAGGTGTTTCGAGCCATTTCGGGCCATGACCACACACTGCGAAACGTCTTTCGTTTTCGGCGCTTGTGCCGGGGACAAGCCGACGCCAAGCCCATCCTTTCGAGGAATATATGCCCTCTTTGAAGGCTGCTACATGAAGGTCGGATGGACCCCAAAAAGAAAGGGTAGCTCCATGCTGGACTCTTGGATTGGAGCAATCCTCCAACTGCCACGCTGCCATCGTCGCGTGCCCGCGTGCCTTGTCGCATGTCTTTGAGCTCCTGTCGATGGGCGCCGACGCGGCCGGCGGCGAAGGCCGGACGGCCATGTTCCATCCCGATGTGTCCTCCGTTCCGTTGCGTTCAGAAACGCATGAAATCATCAATGAAATCCATTCCATTCCATGAAAGCGCCAGGTGTTCTTTGAGTCATGAAGGAAAAGTCTTTTCTTTCTTTCTGCCTAGTGCCTCAGGGAGGCTCGGCGCCTTGCTGGTCATGAAATCAGTGGAGAAAAAAGAAAAGCTGCGCACCTTGTCGAGCTTCTCTTTTCTTTTCTGCTGCTTGTCTGCTTCCTCGCCCATCGCGGGCGACGAGCTATTGGCTGATCCGCCGGTGCGACACGGAACCCCAAGAGGTGGGCGTTCTCGTCAGGTGTCCAGGGCAGGCAGAGGACATCAGCGCATTCTCACTGCTAACAGGGGAATGTGCGGAGCCATTCTTAGTTCAAGGGACCTCAAAGGAGGGGCCCAACAGTTATTCATCCTCCTGGCGAAACATTTATTATTTGCACCCAAAGGAAATCAAACCCTTCCCCAAGTCATGTAGTTCCCAAAAAATGGCGCTGTGTCGCGAGCAGTGTCACCAGCTCCAAAACACGTCGCCGGCTCCCGCCGTGCATGTCACACATCATGTCCGTGCCACGCACCGTCCGTCCCACGCTCCTTCCCACACGGCAACGCGGCTCATCCCGCCTCTTGAAGCTTCTGGAAGGACTCGCGGAGCTTCAGCAGCTCACCATTGCCCTGCAAGCGCTCCTGGAAGGAGGGCTGGGCGAAGAGCCGCCCAGAAGTTGCTCCAACTTGAAATGGGGGGTTGGAAATGGAGTCGACTCTTCGTACGGCAAACTCTGGAGATCAACCGTGGCCGCCGTAACCCATGAATCACATGAACCGGTTGCCATCTTGTTTCACAGGTCGCAGTCCGAGCCAGAAAGTGTCGCCACGGTTCGCCGACCGGCTCCCAAGTTCCAACCACACGAAAATCAAGCGACTGGCCTCTGCAAAAGAAAAAAGAGAAAAGAGAATACCCTCATCAACCTTCAACTATTGAGGGCTGGATGGTGTATCCTGACCCTTTTTGTAGGTTGGAGGCCATCGCTAGTAGGTTCTCATGCGTAAAACAATCCATGGTTCATCCGACAGGGCCCAGGTCCTGCTCGAGCTTGGCAACCTTGGCATTGAGATCGGTGTTCTGCTGCTGCATCTGCTGAACCTGGTTCCGGCATCTCAACTGCCAACCAATGGTCATTCATCGATAACGACATCGACGGCATCGATACCAACACTTCAGGCACGGCGCCTGTCCCTGCAGCATATCCCGATGCTTCACCAGGTCATTCTTCTCCTCACGATCGAAATGATAGGAGGCTGATTCCAGCAAAAATAAACACAAACACACAGACCCATTGACAGGTCCAAGCGTTCAGGGTCGTCGAAACAAAACACCCAGCAAGTTACGCGTGAGATCGTGCAAACCCTTCGAGTCAGCAAGACGGTCTTAGAAGAACACCGATGTTTCTCAAGACAATGCGCCAACGTCCAAACCCCAGAAATATTCGTCCAACGTCCCCTGCGGAGACGTCGAACACCTCTGGTCCATCGCATGGATTGTGGACCAGTGCACTCCTGGACCAGTTGGTTCACCATGTTCTCCTGGTTAATGCTGAGTCCAGCGCCTGACCAGTCGCGCAAAGGCGCAGTGGCGGTGGGTCGCTGAAAGGCTTTGCTGAAGAGTATGATCTTTGCAGACTTTGTGGGATGACGAAATGTGCTCTGGAAAGAAAAACACCCCCCACTCTCGAGTCCCCCTCTCTGTCTGACAGTTCAGAAACAAGCACCTATATAAAATCTTTCCAGTCACCACCAATCCACAAAAACAGAAACGCAAACATATAACCATGGGCTCTGGCACATGTAGCACCAAACATTTCTGTCAAAAAGGCCGCTGGATGGCCTTGCTCGACCAGACGCCCAAGCTTGGTGATCTCGGACTTGAGGTTTTGGATTGTCTCTCTTGCCCTCTGCTCTTTCTCATGCGAGGCCTGACACAAGGCGAAGTAGATGTTTTGGAAGTGGATGTCGTACAAAAGAATCAGATCTGCAGTTTGCACACTTCTCCCACATTGCTGGCACAGGGTTGGCATGAACAAATGAATGCAGCTTCGGTTTAGGCAGGTGGGCTCTATCTCCTCAGATTGGAAAGCTTGCTCATGGCGAAAATAGAGAGAGCAAACCCAGTCGGTGGAAAACTCCAAACTTGGATGTCGCCTGTCCACTGACACTGTTGATAGAAGAAGTGATGCACTACCTGGAATTCCCAAACACAGCCAACGGGCACATCCCCATCAAGCTGTGGGCTTTCTCTCATCTTCACAGCGGTTTCCTGTGCCTCCACCATCTTCCAGGCACGCTCGATCTCCTTCTTTAAGGCAGTGATCGTCGCGTGGTCCTCCTGTGACAGCTTCAACGCAGTCTGCACCTGTCAGAGCTGCCGGGGATGGGGAGATTGGCAGATCTGCAACGTTCTCGTTGAATGAAGGAGTTGACGGGTTGACCGTCTATCATGGACAACTGGCTGTATAGTTGTCATTTTGTCAAAACAACCACCAAAAATGAACAGAATAGATTACCTGGCAAGTCAACCTACCCAACCTGCCCTGGTTTGGGGCTCCAGGTTTTGACCCACAGCCATGCTATATCTGAGTCCCACGAGCCGCTCTGCACTCAAAAGTTGCGGTCAACGCTTTTCTCCGCAGCAACGAAAAGATCGCTCCCCTCTCTCCGTCGGGCCTTCACGGCGTTCTGCACGATCTCTCCGTTGAGTTCGCGACACTTCTTGATGAGATGCTTCCTTTGGGGGCCAAGCGGGCATAATATTGACTCTTCTTTCACTTGATTGAACCTATATCTATATAATACATATACACATATAATTAGTACATATATTGTGAAGCTCGCAAGCTGTGTGATGACTGTCTCATGCGGTTCTCCTATGGTTCAATCCACCGAGAAGGGTGGGCGGGCGGACATCGTGATTACACGGAAAAGCGAGGGCGCTTCGTTAGGTGAACAGGGTTTTCACAGTAGATAGTGGTCTATCTCCAGTGTGAGATTAACATTGGTAGCGGAGCCTCCGCAAGGAGGCATAGGTTCCTTTTGGGTTGGTTCCTTTGAGAGTAATTCACCTAGGCGGGTGTGCATTTCAATCAATTTGTTTTGTTGCAAGACATTTTACCATCCATCATTTCGTGAGCCATGGCTGGGGCAGAAGGAAGTCAGACGGAAGAAAAGTCTGGCCACATTTGGAGTTTGCTGCCAGGATTTGATCCTGCCACAGATGATCCCCGAGAATATGCTGACAAGATCCGTTTCTTACACTCCATTTGTCCGGTTAAGGACAGGCCGATGTTAGCTCCGAGGCTCGCACTTCTGATGAAGGGCACGGCTTGGGCTCAAGTCAAAGCCCTAGATGGTACAAAGCTCTCTGATCCGAACGGTGGCATCAAGCTCCTCCTGCAGACTGTTGCTGATTGGGAGGACTCAGCTGAACTGCAAACCTACGAGAAGTTTGAACGTGCACTGTACAAGGTGACCCAGAAACAGGATGAGAGCGTGTTCTCCTATGTCAACCGGATGAACGTAGCATTTGCTGAGATCGACAAGGTGACGGTCCCTGAGATCAAGGCCTTCATAATGCTACGCCAGAGTGGACTTGGAGCCGAGGACAAGAAACGAGTCCTGGCTATGTGTGGGGGAGAACTTCGTGCCAAGAAAGTTGAGGACTCCATGAGACAGCTGGCACCTCGTGTCCTGGTGGGAACTACTGGGACGGAGCCGAAGAAGAAGGTCTATGCAGTCAACTTCGTCGATGACGATGAAGACATGCCGACGCCGGCCTATTTTGCAGATGAAGAACAGCCCATGGACGATGAGCAGGGAATCCAATTGTTGATGGAACAGGGAGATGAAGACGCTTTGATGATCACGGAGTTCGAAGACCAGTTGATAGAAGCATGTCAGGACAATCCGGATTTGAGCATGTGCTTCTCGGCATACACTGAAGCACGAGGCCGAGTCAGGGAGAAGATTCGTTCCCGCGGCTTTTGGCCACCAGCCAAAGGAAAAGGGAAGCCGAAAGGTTCAAAGAAAGGAACCTGGAATCCAAAAGGGGGTTTTCGCAGACGGCAATCGTTGGCTGACCGGATAGCCAACTCCCATTGTCGACTGTGTGGTGCTCGTGGACATTGGCGTCAAGAATGTCCGAACAAAGGAAATGCCGGAAATGCCAATGCCTCGTCGGCCGAGATCCATGTGTCGACTTTGGTAGGAGAAGGACCAGGTGATGAAGACCCCGAAGTTTTGGAACGACTGCCAATTTCACTTGAGCAAGCACTACCTGAGTGGTGGCCTGTGTTCAACTCGGAGGGCAGGATTCCGGAGCAGATGAACGAGACGATGTCCAACACCAACTTTGGCAAGAATGCTTCTGAGACCATGGATGACCGCCAGGTTGGGAGTCCGACAGTGCCCACAGAATTTTGTTGGGATTCTAAAAGAGAAACCCGTGTTAATGAAGAATTCATTTTTGCTGCTCTGTCTTTGAGAGACATGAAACAGACGTTGAAACGGGGGGTGAGAGACCTTACACTGGGGAAACGTGTCAGGAGTGAATCACCACCTCTTGAGCCGGTGTTTTTTGTAGACCACGGAAGCGTAGCTATCCTTGATACGGGAGCTAGTAAGTCTGTGATTGGAAAAAGGAGACTAGAGCAGCTGATTTCAAGTTTGCCGCAAGAGTTTGCCCGAAAGATCTCATGGCAGAAGTCGGAGACCATTTTTCGATTTGGAAATAATGGCACCCTTGCAAGCCTAGGAGCTGTGTTTATGCCATTTGGTAAAGGTTGGCTAAAGATTGAAGTGGTTGACGGAACCACTCCCTTTCTCCTCTCCAATGCTTTTCTGAAAGCTGTGTCGGCGGATATTTGCACTTCGAAACGATTGCTGTGCATGTTTCATGGAAAAGTAAGTGTTCCATTGACTGTGAGTAGTAAGGGACTGTTTTTGGTTGATTTGTTGTTGATTCTGAAACATGCGAATCAATTAGAGATGAATGGAAACTGGGAGGTCGTGACTAATTTAACTGATGAAACTCAACAAAGAAGTCGACAACACCCGGAGACAAACATGACTTGGACAGCAGACATTCCACAGTCACACACTCCTCCAGCAGCAACTCGAGTGTCAAGCACGTGCGAGCAATCTCCAGCCAGCCCCAAGCACTATGGCGCCCAAGAAGGTGATCACCGCCTATGCCTACGGAGGGACCATGGATGCGCCCCTGGCATTCCCCGAGGATGCCACGCTGGCGACGATTCCTTCGAACAGCGATGCAACCATCGTCAAACCACCAGGAGTGATGACTCTACGACAATGGGGAGAGCAGACAATGGGGGGAGGAAAGCATGCCGGGAAGACCTTCTCAGACATCCTGGCCATCGATGCGAGCTATGTCGAGTTCATGAAAAAGAAGAGCGATTGCACTTCAGCCTGGGCACTGAGCTTCCACAATTACGTCCTGGCAGTCGACAGGATGACCCAGCCAGAATCCATGGGAGCTCGTCAACAGGTGTTGACCCCACAGATGATCAAGATGACCAAGGAAGAGTGGAGTCAGCAGGGCGCAATTGTGACAGACTGGGATGTGATCGACGAATTGAAGAATCCACATGGCTCGGAAGTTCCGCAAGGAATCACATCCTTGGCAAGTGGGCCCATGACGGGAAAGAGGATGGCAACCAGCAGCGACGACCACAAGAAGATGCAGGTGGACATGCAGAAGGAGACCCGCGACCGCGTGAATCAAATTCAGACACAGATTGCGATCTTGCAGCGAGAGCTGACATTCTTGATGCCAGCCGAAGAGCCATGAACAACCCAAAAGTGAAGTCGAGTTATGACGATGAACAATTCTTGACGGAAGTTCACGACAGTATAGACACTCCTATCTCAAATTTCTATGCCCAGGAGTTATCTAATCTGGTGGAGAAAATTGAGCTTCAGTTAGAAGAATTGGCACACCACTCGGCTGACATCCGGACACGACATTCAGCACCACGATTCACCAATTCGAAGGAGAGATTGGACATCCTGGAGATTTATTGTTTCCCAGATTCCCAACTCACCCAGACTGCCCACCAGTTAGGCCTCAAGGCCAGAAGATTTACCCTCCAGGATGGTGATCTCAGAACCCCAGACGGCCAAGAACGGCTATGGCAGATCATGGAAACCCAGCGGCCCAGACACATTTGGGCATCACCTGACTGCAAACTCTGGGGCAACTTCGCCCGACGGAACATGGGAAGAAGCAAGCAACTGAGAACACGAATACTGGATGGTAGGAAACACGAAAGGCCCAACCTCAGTTTGTGTGAAGAGATCTATATGTACCAGGTCGAGAACGGTAGACATTTTCATCTTGAACAGCCTGTAGGGTCGGAGTTGTTGCTTCAACCAGAACTGGAACAGACTAGGTACGGGACCCTCCCAACGATTTTCGATATGTGTGAGGTTGGAAAACTGAACTGGAAAGGAGAACCTTTACAGAAAAGAACCATTGTTTTGACGACCTCCCGGATCATTCACGGTGCTTTGGACTGCCGGTATTGTTGCAAAACTCACGAACACAGGCAGATTGCAGGTCAGGTGAAGCACGGCGGGAGTTGGATCTCGCTGTCATCATTTGCAGCAAAATATACCGCAGGCTTTGCACGCACCGTGGTTCGAGCAATGCAGAGAGTTTCGAATGAAGCTCCATTGCTACAAGAAGAACTTCGAATTTCGTCTAGGGGAGAAACGGTAGACGAGGTGTTGGTTGGTGAGGCCATCAAACGAAGACGATTGATTTCGAAACAAACGGTGAGGAAAGCAGGAAACGAAGAAGATGAAGACAGGGATGACCACAGAAAACGAAACGAACAGGACCGATTGAAAGACCTTTTTGGGGAACTTGAGAAATTGGCGCCCAGGGTTGGTTCCGTTGTGATTGACTCTAAGAATCCCACTTTTCAGACGGCACAAGGCTTTTGTACTTTCAAGTTGGTTCATGCAGAGGCTTGTAGGGGAACTGAACGGTTGCGCATTCCCAAGGTTGGTACACCCCTGAAAGACTTGGAGGTTAGGAAGACTTACTCATTGAGTAGGAGTACGGGGGAAGTTGAACTTGTTGGAGAAGAAGAGGAATGGCAGCGTTTGACACAGAGACAACGTATAAGAAAAGGTATTCCCTCAAGGTTGACACTGACAATGTTCGGCACCAGAAACATGTCATGTTCGGTCTCGTCGTCCATGTCGTCGAATGGGATTGCAAACGAAGATGAGGACATGAGCATGGAACGGGAGAAACGAAAGACGGAAACTGGACCGGACACGGACCATGAGATAAAACCGAAACGATTGAAGGGTTTGGGAGATGACATGAACGACAAGGATGTAGGATCAGAGACAAACCAGCCTGTCCTTGAGAAAGATGAAGAAAGGGAATTGGAGATAGTGGGAAGGCCCCCTAGGAACATTGCCACACATGGTCCAGCCTTTTTGGGGTTGAAGGAAGAACAACAGAAGTGGTTGAGACAGGTACACCATAGACTGGGACATCCCGACCCCGATACTTTGACCCGCTATCTTCGTTCCACGAATGCAGAGCCAGAAATCATCGAGGGGGCGAGAGACTTTCAATGCGACGCCTGCTCGGAGTCTCGGAAAGGCTTTGATTTGCCACAAGCCGGAGCCATCCATGAGAACTTAGGATTTAACGACACAGTGGGGATGGATGGAGCGGTTTGGATGAACTCACAAGGGACTCACTTTTCCTTTACTCACCTGATTGATGAAGGGACTTTGTTTCAGGTTGCTCGACCATGTGGGGGAGACTCCAATTCACAATGGACCTTTTTGGAGGAACACTGGTTGGGTTGGGCAGGACCACCTAAGACAATTTATGTTGATCCCGCCAAAGAGTATTTGAGTGAGGCCTGGCTAGGGAAGATACAAGAATTAGGGATAACTATAAAGGTCTCAGCACGTGAATCTCATTGGCAGTTGGGAAGGGTTGAATCTCATGGAGCCATCATCAAAGGCATGTTGAGTAGGATGGATCTGGAAAAACCCATACTAGATGAAGAAGCTTTCCGGAGAGCATTGATCCAGGTTTGTCATGCTAAGAATTCTTTGACCCGGAAATCCGGGTATTCCCCGGAACAAGCTGTCCTAGGCTGTGCTACCCGTTTGCCCGGTTCGGTCACGTCGGATGAGAACGCACTAAGTCATGCTAGAGCATTGGATGAAGGGTCGAACAGTTTCAAAGAGGCTTTAGATTTGAGGGAGTCAGCTAGGAGAGCATTTGTGTCCATGGACAATTCCAACAGTCTTCGCAGAATCATGTTGCGCAGAAGCAGACCCATGAAGAACAACTTTGAGGTAGGGGATGTAGTACTATATTGGAAACGAAAAGGTGGTAATATGCGTAGGGAACGAGGTCAGTGGTTTGGTCCAGCTAGGGTGGCACTGGTTGAAAGGAAGGTGATCTGGTTGGTACATGCCCATCGCCTGATTCGTGCTAGTCCTCAGCAGTTGCGTGCCGCGTCACTCAGAGAGTGGAAGGCTGTGAAAGACACAGCCGAGTTTCAGGTTCCAGTGCCGGAATGGGCTAGGAAGATAGGCCATCAGGACATGTGTGACTTGGACCCAGAGGATCTCCCTGAACCTAGTGAACCCGATGTGAACCCACCAGAACTAGGGGCAACGGAAGGACCTGAAGAAACCCCGGACCCAGAACCTGAAGAAGAAATGTCGGTTCCCACACGGAGAGGATCCATGGATTTGGAAGAGGGAAAGGTCAGAGACGGTGTAGAGGTACCGGTCCCCGATGATGATGATGGGTTATTTGGAGATACGGTTTTGTTCAACGAGGGTGTAGTTCAAGACCATTGTTGGGAGATAGATGTTACTCCTGCCGGAGATCTTTCCGAAGCCTGGGATACGCCCGATGCCTTTGTCCTGGCCGCAGTTTCTGAAAGAAAGAAACGAACGGAAATAAAGTTGAAGGAACTGTCACAGGAAGACCAAAAACGGTTCGCTGTGGCCAAGCATAAGGAGTTGCGGGCATGGCTTCAGCATCGGACCATTCGAAAGGTGGCTCAGGGAAGAATTCCAGAGCACGCCATCATGAGATGTCGGTGGTTGTATGTCTGGAAAAATCCAACCGGAGAAGAACCACCCGAGGACTTGTCAGCGACCGGCAAGAAAGCGAAGGCTAGGTTGATTGTCATTGGTTGGGAGGATCCACAGTTGGATGAGGTGACCAACGACGCCCCTACTTTGTCCAAGGATGGTCGAATGACAGTCCTACAGGGAGTTGCTAGTCACCGGTGGCCACTGATATCTTTCGACGTCTCCACTGCCTTTTTACATGGCAAGGGTGATGGAAGGCCACTTGGACTAGTTCCGGTCCCAGAAATGCGTGAAGCTCTAGGAATGGGAGAGACCGACCAAGTCCAACTGGATGGTGGAGCATATGGTAGGATAGATGCCCCATATCTCTGGTTCTGTGAGTTTAGGGACGAGTTGATCAAGCAGGGTTGTAGACAGAATCCCTTAGATCCATGTGTCTTCACGTATCATTCAGCGAAAGGCTTGGAAGGTTGCCTAGGGATTCATGTAGATGATGGAATAGGTGGCGGAAGTCCGCTGTTCATGGAAATGTTGAAGAAGGTGGAGGCGCGGTTTAAGTTTGGGGCTTTCGAACAAGGGGAATTCACCTACACTGGAATTCACTTCAGACAGTGGGATGACGGTTCCATTGAGTATGATCAGATTCCCTATGTTGAGAAGATAAACCCTATCGTTTTGGGGAAGGGTAGACGGGATGACCCCGAGTCACTGATCACTGAAGGTGAACGAACCTCATTTCGAAGCCTTATTGGAGCCCTCCAATATGCAGCGGTTCATAGTCGTCCAGATTTAGCAGCCAAAGTTGGAGAATTACAGAGTGAGGTCACCAGGGCTAGAGTGAAGCATCTGATTCTTGGTAATCGTGTTTTAGCTGAGGCGAAGCAGAATCGAGTGTCTTTGATGATACTTCCGATAGAACCTCAGTATGTGACTCACTGTGCATTTTCCGACGCGTCATTTTCGTGCACCAAACATACCACGGCACAGCAAGGTACAATCATTTTCACGACCACACCAGAGCTCCTAGAGAACAAGAAGTCAGTAGTTGCTCCCATAGCCTGGTTTAGTAAGAAGATACCCCGTGTTGTGCGAAGTACACTTGGTGCAGAAGCGGCGGCATTGAGCAATTCGGCAGATCGATTGATGTGGGTTCGAGTCCTATGGTCGACACTACTAGATCCAGATTGCGACTGGAAGAGGCCAGAGAAGATGCTATCTAGTAGAAACCCAGGTGTACTAGTGACCGACTGCAAGTCTGCCTATGATCTATTAACGAGAACGGCAATTCCCCAGTGCTCGGAACACAGAACAACGATCGAATGCTTGTTGATTCGCGAAAGGCTTCAAAACAATGCCACGGTTCGCTGGGTTTGCTCTCAGGCTATGTTAGCTGACTGTCTAACTAAGACAATGGACAGTAGCATCCTCAGAGAGTGTTTGAAAACTGGAAGATACACACTCCGTGACGAAAGTCATGCTTTGAAGGAGCGGCTGACAGCAAGAGAGCGCTTGAAATGGATTAAGCAACACCGATCGGAAAACGATCGACCAAATGAAGCAGCCATGATGATGGAACAATCCGGCAAACAGATGCATGATGAAGATTTTTGGAAGCAAGGTCCGAATGGAGAGATTATTCGGGTGCACGTGAAACCACGTTACCAGCGGTTCTCACCTGTTGGGGTTGAGGGTTGTCCCGTAGATCTAAGAAAGTTAGAGACCTATAGGGATACATATCAACAGGGGTGTACAGGTGAACGTGACTATTGGGTGGGGACATGTGCACATCGAAGAACGATCTTTCCTTGGATCGGTGAGACAGTGTTCTTTGAAAAGAAAAAGTAAGATGAGTGTGAAGCTCGCAAGCTGTGTGATGACTGTCTCATGCGGTTCTCCTATGGTTCAATCCACCGAGAAGGGTGGGCGGGCGGACATCGTGATTACACGGAAAAGCGAGGGCGCTTCGTTAGGTGAACAGGGTTTTCACAGTAGATAGTGGTCTATCTCCAGTGTGAGATTAACAATATATATATACACATATTTGATCATAGTTGTACAATCTCATCAGAAAACTCAACACCTAACTCAGCGCACAACCCATCACCCAGCGCGTCAAGTAAATGCAGACCAGGGCGTTCCCAAAAGACCTCCTACATACGACCCGTACCAGTACCAGCAAGATGTAGGACCTCGTAAGACGTCTTTGTCGCCGGGTTGTTTCGGTCCAACCTCCCACGGATGTTCGCTTCGTACGGAAACGCTCTGTCAGTTTTCGAGTTCAGGTCAGGCCCTGTGGTTTCTTGCTATCTAAGCGGTGTCGAAAACCGGCCAATCCTTTAGTCTAGGTGGAAAAAAAGGACGAAAACCAGTGTCCGGGTTCCCCCTCCTTTTGAACACCGCCAAAATGCCATCAGAGACCAACCGTACTCTTGAAAAGAGACGTTTTCGAAAAACGACAGACCCCGCCCACGGCCGGGGCCACGGTGGTCACCGTGGTGCCAGGTCACTCACTCTCATGGGACTTCTTCAGCGCCCGGTGCAGCTTCTCGTACCTGGCGGGCGGGGTCGCCCTCGAGGCGGTCGCCCGAAAGGTCGGTAGGAAGAGGTCCAAAGGGCGAAGCGGTTCGGATCCTTTGTTACTAGTAGTAAGGCACTTGTTACTAGCGATGCACTTGTTACGTTCGTAGCGTTCTTGTTACTAGTAAGGCCAGGAGCCCCTAGTAGCTTCTTGCTCCTACTAGTAAGGCACTTGTTTCTAGTAGCTTCTTGTAGCTTCTTGCTCCTAGTAATAAGGCCAGGAGCCCCTAGTAGCGTCCTTGCTCCTAGTAGCGATGCCAGGAGCCCCTAGTAGCGATGCCCTTGCTCCTACCTTGGATAAACCCCAAAGTCCACAAACAATATGCACCTCTCAGATAACATGCGAATCTGAAAGCTGGAGCGGAATCCGAAACGCACAGGCAAACAAACAATGATGATTACAGCGGTGCAAGTGTTGCCACTTCCTACAAGTACGCATTGGGCATCAGCACAATGTCACGAAGCTTCTCTCAGCAAATCAGCGCTATGATCCACCGCTGCCGGACCTCACAGAGGTTTTGAGCAAACGCAGGCAGTGTTCGAAACTCGGCCAGCATGCACCCTCATCGGCCAGTGATTTCTAGACCTCCTGGCATTGTGCGTCGCACCCAAGATAAAAAGCCGTACGGCCACACCTGTCGAACCAATCAAGCAGTTGCCTACTAAGCCATCAACAACAGCACATCCATCTTAGACCAAACCGTCGTGACGTCGCGGCGTCACGTCTCTTTGGACCGAAGGATCTCCCGCTCCCTGCGGAGCGTCGCTCCGAGGTCACTCGTTGCGGAAGTGCTCCAGGGACTTGTCCCCAACGAGCTCTTGAAGGATCTCCTGAAGAAAAGCACGGAGCAGGCACTCCATGGAGAGCTGACGTAGCTGGATGTACCAACAAAAAATCCAAAAAGAACTGCAAGTATACATAGGCAAACTCTCTTGAAGGAAGGATAAGAAGTGAAGGAGTCAGGGAACTGTATCCTTCTTTTTCATATCCTTTTCCTTCCAAAAATGTAGCCCGCACCCTGCCAAGAGCCGGCCCAAGCCCGATGGCCCAAGTTGACAGGGCCTTCCCGAAAGGCTTTGCACATGGAACCGACCAATTCACTCTTTAAGTCCGACTCCAAACACCGTCCATCGATCCTTCGGCCTCCCACGGAGAGTCCACCGACGCTCGCCTGAAAGTCCCGCTCGAGCTGCTCAAAGGCGGAGGCCTTGGGTGGAAACCGTTCCGGCGAAGACGGGACCGAGCGAAGACGTTCCAGAGCCGAACGGGAACTAGCCAAACAGCCATACGGAACCTCCCAGGAAGCCCAAAGAAGCGAAACTGAACGAGGTATCAAGACCCATAGACCTGCGGAGGTTGATGCAAAAAAAAACCTCAATGGTGCCAGTGACAATCCCAACGCCAGCCACGGCCAAAAGTAAGCCCCCACCCCAGCTAGCTAAGTGGCCAAGTGGTTGTGGCCAACGCTTCAGGTGCTCATTCAACTGCGGTGTTTTCCCATATGACAAATCGCAGTCGTTGACTTCTGTTAGCCTAACCGTTCGTTCCAAAACCATGCATCACCCCCGCTGCGAAGGGAACAAAGGACATTCCTACGAACGGAGCAAGAAGCTATGCAGCTAGCAACAAAGGGCACCGCTACGGCAAGCCTTCGTTCCATTCTCAGATGTTTTGCCAGATTCCACTGCCAAAACCTGGCACCGCCATGGCAACTGCCTGCCGCGACCACCCAACAGGACGCGCCCGGCCTCGAAATCCCCATCGGCCGAATCCTTGGCCGCCTCCGGTGGCAGATCGCGAGACATGCCACGTGAGACATGCCAACAGCGGATCACACAAACTCCAGGGTTCTATCACGGTTTGGAAACACTGGAGAGTTGAAAGTTTGAGACATGGTTGGGGAAACTAATCCACATGTGAATTTGTTCAAGACTCCAAACAAAGCCAAAACAAAATTCGGCATATGCAGGTCATTACTTGGGGCGGTTCGGGCGCACCTCTGCCTCTGCCATGACGGAAAGAGGGAGACAAAAAGGTTTGTGAGCAAAGGCTTGTTCGCTTGCGGTGTTGATTTCCCAAGCTTTTTGGCCTAGTGGAAGGTTTTTGGGGACCACCAATGTGGTTTTAAACACGGCACGCATTTTCGTTGGTCTGGATGACAACTTCATCGACCCCCGCAGGTCCTCCCTTTCACTTCCACGCGCTGAGCCAAGAATTGCCGGTGTTTTACCGGTGATTGGTGCGTTCCGACTTGATCCTCGCTGTGGGGAAGCTGAATACTTGTAGCCAACTCACAACCCAGCCCAAGAAAGTCCAAGGCACAACCAGCGATCTGTGTTTTGTGCAATAAACCAAACAATACAACTAAAACATTGCATGTGTTTATTGAATGTGATCCAAAGTGGACGCGCATGGTTGGTGTTGGTGAGGTTGCACCGAAAAGAATACTGACAAAAAATCAGCGGGTTTTGGGAGAACTGGTGGATTGAACCCTCGATCCAAACCACCCAAACGGCCAAAACAAACCTTGGCCGCCTTCGCCTCACATCCACAGTTACAATCCTTGTGCAAACTGGCCACAAGGAACCCTATTGAGTGCTCCAAAAAAAACAGGTAGCTCACGGGGCAACGCAACAACGCAAGGCTGCCACCCCAGAAGGTTTCGCAATCCGCAAAACGACAAATGTGTGGTGCAACATCTTCCCAATCATACAGGTGACTGGTTCGGGTCCATTCACCTGCGCGTCCTGGAGAGATTTGTGAAATGGCATATTTGGGAGTTGTGGCGTCAACTACCTATTCAAAACAAACAGATATCTATGTGTTGCATAGTTTTTTATGCGATTGCATTCTTACAAGCAAGAATACAAAGGAAGTACAATAAGAAAGAGCTAGGCCAGAGACAAAAGTGTTGATTGACCGGTATCCTTGCAGTATACGTGAAAAGCCATAACGTATTTTATACAAATTGTAGTTTCAATTCATTCTTACTTAAGCAGTTTTTCTTCCTTTCTTGGATACGTTGTTGATTGTAAATAAAGCCTTTGCAAAGCATAGGCTTCTTAGACACAAACCTCAAAAGTTGTGATACCTACAAAGGAACAACATGGAACAATCTTTTGTCATTCTTTCGTTTGGTCTCATGAGAGTTTACACAAGCAAAGGTGCGCCCTTTTCTTCACTGAGCTAACGGGGAGTCAGGTCCTGTTCTCAAGCCAAGGGTCTGGCTTGAAACTCGAAATGCGTAGTGCAATTGAATGCACTGGAATGGGCCGGTGGGCGCTTTTCGAGTAAGAACTAAAGGCGCCCACCCGCCCTCCCTTGAAAAGAATTTGCTGAGGCGCTCTATCGATGAGACCCGGAAGTTTCCTTCCTTAAACTTACGAATGACAACTCGATCAGTTTTCAACGAGTTTCCTCGTCATTCTTTCGTTTGGTCTCATGAGAGTTTACACAAGCAAAGGCGCTCCCTTTTTTTTCACTGAGCTAACGGGGAGTCAGGTCTTGTTCTCTTCCCCCTTTTCAAGACCTGATTCCTCGTTTTGACAAGGTTCGCATGAATCTGATCGAACAGTGCTTCAGCTTCCAGGCTCTTGCATTTTGCGGCTTCAAGCAAGACACGCACAAATCACCTTCCCTTGTGCTGCCTTTGCTTCTTTGTGACCAAACGTTGACCTGGACCTTCTCAGCTCGTTCTCCGAGCTCCGCTACCACGTGAACAACTAAATTGATTGCAAACGTTCTGAACACCAAAGCGAAAGCACGTGCAACAGCTCACAAGCAAAGGCACTCGCACCACTTTAACGCGCACCTTGAGCTCAAGCAAAATGAAGTGTCTTGCTTTCAAGCAATTCCCATGCGAGACACCAAAAGTCTCAAGCTTAAACGCACTCAAACAAAAGCAACAAAGACTCCCATTCACAAAGATTCTAAACATTGTACATTCCATGAGCTAGCTCTCCAAAGCTCTCGAAACACTTGAAATGCAAAACCTCACAGCTACTGCTGCACAAAGCGCTCAAATATGAGGTAGACTGTGATTGTGGGACCTGTGGGTTGAGTGAGGGTCTGCTGCAGTGCTCTAAGTTGAACCGCTTGCCAGTTCCACCTTCTCGTTGATCCTGTGGCAATTGGCAGCTGAGTCTGTTGTTGCTGTTGCTGAACTTGATTCACCTTCTGTGGTCAATCTTTTGCCCAGTGATCAAATTGGCAACATTTGCGCAGCTGCCACTGCAGTTTCTGCGTGCAGTTTGCTGTGGTTCTTGATTTTCCCTCACCTCTTGCCTTTGCTCTTCTCACTCTTTCACTCTTTCCTTTGCAGCGTCCTTTGCCTCCAAACACACAAAAACGATGGCCTCCGCGGCATCACCTTGTGAGGGCAGGCCAAGACTCCGCGGCTTCAAGCACAAACGATGGCCTCCAAACGATGGCCCCGCGGCCACGCCTCCAAACTTCCAAAACAATGGCCTGCAGCCTCCATCACCTCACAAAAATTTTTCCAGCAGTTCTCAAATCTCGCTGGTTTTCCAAATTGTTTGCTCCTTCAGGCTGCAACGGTCACTGAGTTCCAGAAACTCTAAGCCTTGTGGTTCGTGGGTGTGAGCTGTTGTGAATTTTAGCATTGCGGCTTTCACTTCGAACACGAACAGAAGCAATCTGCGAGCGAGTGAAGAGACCAAAGAATTCCTGTAGTCAACAACAAAACACAAAAAAAAAACAGAAAACACCCCAAACCAATAGGGGGTCGCTGCTCCAGTTTTTGTGGCCAGAAACGGACCCTCAAAAATGAAGCAACTCAACAAAAATTTGCTTCTCTTGGAACAATTTTAGTTTTCGAGTCCGTTTCTGGCCCGAAATTCTTGAATTTGCTGTTTGAATGCGTTTTGGTTTGGAAAGCATGAACGCAGTTTTTGCATTTTTTGCCGAAACGATTGAATGAAACTGTGTCGAGCGAATTGGAAAAACAGAAGCGCACGTGCAAGCGCCTCTTTTCTTGAGCCAAAGTCAACGACGCGGAATGTTCATCGCGTTTCGTCCTTTCGAAAACATGGAATGTCTAGGCGTTTGTTTGCTCGCACTCCCCCAATGATGGTTGACCATCATTCTTCAGGGCACTCAGCTGTTCGCTGTTCATGCCAACTTCTCAAAACTACCATCTGACTGTGAATTTTCTTCTAGCTTCACGACTGGTGTTGCGGGTCTTTGACCCACAGCAGTTGAGATTCCCATCCAGTCAGGCCACGTGTCAGCTTCAGCAGGATGGAGACCTTCACGAAGAGAATGCTCCCAAGCTTTTCTCAACTTCATCTAAGTGGGCCTCACCCCGAGCTCGATGTCCTTGGAGCCGCTCTGCATAGCCAGCGCTGGGGACACCTTCAGAGGAGGCAATGCCACGAGCAGTGATTGCCGAGCCATCATGGGCCACTTGAAAGTCCCTCTCTTCTCTCCCAATTGTAGCTCCACACTTCTTCCCCGCTCCAGAGCACGGGATTGAGTTGCTGTGTTCCCATAGCCCCGATCGGCCCGTGCGATCGTTTCCGGAGGAGGCTGCGGTCCTGGAGCCAATCCATGCACACACGGAGGACCAGTGGAACCGGCTCTGTGAATGGCTGTCTGGAGACCCCGTTTCGGAGGAAACTTGAACGCCACAAGCAGGCGCTCAAAGACCAACTGGGGGTCAGCCGAGACGACTCCGATAATCGCAATAAAGCCCGGCGTACGGCCCCTCCCCCAGGCGGGAGCAGCTCCTCATCGACAGCTCGTCCCCCCAATCGCAGCAAGCCTCCCCCGCCGCCTCCTCACACTGGGGTGGCAGCAAGGGACCCTCCGTAACAGCCGACGCACACAGGCACAACACCCCACTGGCCTGATTTTGTGACCTTGGTCATCTTTTTTATTTTACTGTAGGTGCTGCTTGCCACCGCTGTCCAGTTGCTACCACAATCTTCTGGCTCAAAGAAGTTGGGTGGGCATGCTCGGACTGTCGTCCACAGCGAAGATACCTGGTGACGATGGCAGGCACTGAGTGTATTCACAATAACTGCACACGCAGCACGGGATGCACAAGCGGCACAAGCTGCTGAGCTAGGCCAACCACCAGTGGTGCCCCCTGTCGCAGCGCACGCCAATTTGCCCACTGAATGGCCCCTAGCGCGCATCAGCGTCTATACGCGCCACATCAGTGTCCTCCTACGGGTTACGCTCAATAGAAGGCTTGCGGAATTAAGCTTCAGAGGAGTGGAGTTTCAACACTTGCCCCGAGAGATTATTAAGCACGCCAGAGAAGACTTCGACGCCATCTGTGGCGCCATGGCCGCCCAACTGGCTGCCCTGTTTGCGTTTCTCCGACCGAGCGAGGAAAAGCCACAGAAGATAGACCAAGCTGAGCTAGCCCTATACGCTGACCCGACTTACTGGCTGTATGGCCTTCTGTCCTTCTGTGCCAAGAGCTGCGAGGCGAAGACAGCAGAAGCAGGAGGAGAACCGGATTTCAGAACAAGCAAAGAAAGAAAACAAGACAGTTCGGCTCCGGCGTTAGAACCCACTCGCAACTCACTTGCACTGATGCAAACAGTCGTCATGTCTTTTGCGCGAGGCCTTTACCTTGGCAAACCTGAGCTCCCCATAGACCAAGGGGTAGGGAGCTATCAGGTTCAACAGCTAGTATCTTGATAACGGACACACCTGCTACTGCTGTAGGACAGGCTTCACAGACACCCGGTTGGGAGGGATAACACTCCGAAGTGGTAAAAGCACTGCAGAAGGAGGTAAAAGCAGTTCATAGGAGCCCCAGGCGGTATCCCAAGATGCTGTCGGAAGTATAGCAGAGAAGTTTGCCATAGGTAACTACTGTTAACTGTTTCCCTGAGTGCTGCCTATGACCCACCTGGCAGGCAAGGACACTACATGAGAGCTCTGCCCGCACGTCGGCTCAAGGCGCAGCCTGAAGGGTTGCAAGAGAGGGCTGCCAACGGCGGGACAGTCCCCCACAACCGTGCGCCAAGCTCAGCAG